AACCCATGGCAGGTGTTTTGGCAAGGAGTTGTGCAATGCTTGTAAAGTGTTTCAAAGGCTGGTCTGTGGTTTCCAGGAGGGGGTGTTTCAGAGCAACAAGCTCTGAAGCTGGACGAGCAAGCAGCTGCAGTAGGGGCTGTTCTGGGGTAGGCGTGCTGAGTGCTGTGTCTCCATATAATATATAATTTAATGCACTGTGCATCATGCGTTTGACTATTTGCCAAAAAACACACATGGCATTGTCTTGAACCTTTCTGGCCCCAGTCCTTTGCCACGTGCAGCAGCTTGTTTTTGGGGTATCTGCAGATTGGGTGAACCCAGTCAGTCAGAAAAACGCACAAACATGCACAAACACTTTCATACTTCACTTGCAAGTCGAATGTTCTTTGGTCTTCAGACTTTGGGCCCAAATGTTTGTTGCTCTTGCTGCCCAGGCCTTACAGATCGATGGCCCGTGAATGCTCGGGATCATTCTTTGTACTTTCAGGCTGTGGGCAGTTTCGCCAAGAATGTTTGGGGCTCTGAGAAGTTTAGAGACTTGGTGCGTCTTGAGTTGTCCTTCATCAGAATGGCCTACCAAACCACAATCTAATCTCGTTGTGTGGAGGTGCCCTCTCCTTTCACAACTACTTCTTGGCCGGTGAGGCGCGCATTCGTCCTTTGGAACAACCCTGGAGGATCAACTCCACGTGAGCCACAAACGAAGACTGCAGAAACAATTGTGCTTGCCGGAGTTGCCCAGCACAGCCTCCTCGGCAGGCTGTGGTCTATGTAGTCGCGACTGTGGACAACGAGGTGCAAGTGGTCGGTTGCCGTTCTTGCGAGTTGGTGCAGGGTATTGGGTTGAAGGGCAAAAGCTATCACCTGTTTTCTGGAACCAGCTGTTGGTTCAAAAGAAGTGCTGCCTCGTTCTTCCTCGGCGTTGTGTCTGGACAATGGAGCAGTGGAACATTGACACTCTCGTACGGGCTCTTTTCCAAGCAAGAGTTCCAAAGGCAGCTCAGAATACAACATGTTCCATACTTGTGGTTTGTGTGGGTGTGTGTTGGACACGCATGGACACCAATGGTTTCTTCAATGTCCTTCCAAGGTAGTTGTCATTTGCCTTGTGCTCCTCCTTTATACACATGGGTTGGATCTGACCCGAGCGGCTCAGAGATGTTTTCAATCGAGAGAATGTTTTGTGCAAATGAATTTGACCTGATACATTCTTGTGTTTTGTGGTATGCGGAGTGCATCTGTGTATTTTGGAGTCCTGAATGCTGAGGAATGGCGTTTTTTGGAGTTTTTCGCAGGAAGAGCAAACACCACTTTTTGCCTTCACCATTGGGGCTACCCGGGCTGCCGCCTAGACAAGGATTATGGAGGGGAGTATTCAAATATCTTGAGTGACTCAGGCATGGCAGTAGCACTTCTTTCACTGCTCAAACTCACTTCCGACTGCCTAGTTATTCTGGCCCCAGATTGCTCAAGTTTCTCTTTTCTTAGCGTGAGTGGTTCTCAGCGATATTGGTGGGCTCCGCTGGGAGATGAGTCCCGAGATTGGGTCAGACGTGGCAACACGATGGCCTGCCGGACTCTTGGCAAGTTACGTGAATCATTTGTAAACAAGTGGGATTTGGATGTGTCTTCTGTGTGGCATCTTGCTTTCAGTCTGGCTAATTCAAAGAAACATATAGCACTGAGGGTGGTCCTTCTTGTGTGGACTGCTGTCGCTCTTGGCCACTATTTCATATTGGAGCAGCCTGGCAGTGCCAAAATGGGTGATCTACCACGGTGGCAAGCATTTTGCCAAGAGATCTGTGTTGTCCCATGCTTGAATTAGTTATTTCTTTGACGAGTGTGTGAGAGCATCAGGAGCAGCACAGGGGCATTTCTGAATGAGGCATGTGAGACATTGTGAAACATTTTTTGGAATTGAGGTTTTCAGACAAAAGCTGTGGATGCGACACTTTGGTTGTGATTCCACGAAACCTACTGTACTGTGGAGCAACAGCCCACAGGTGGCAAAGCTTGACAACGGCCCACTTCCTCCTGTAGCCAAGCTAAACATGTTTGTGTACTTTCAAATGTCTTGAGGTATTCAAGTTTGGACCCAAAAATACAGATGCCAATCCTTTGCATGGGTTGTCCTTTCTGTCTGAGGAAAAACGGAAATCGGCTCGGCCATTGGCCCATTCCTACGAGCAGGGAGGGAAAAAGAGATGCACTGGTAAGAAGGCTGCCCTCAAGGAGTCTCAGAGTGGGCCTCAGTTGCTTAATTCACTTTCGGGCAGGGTGAACAAATTATATAGAGCAAGGAGCGGGGCAAACCAATGTGTTGCAGATGTATTTTTTTGGAGGATTATATTTAAAGCAAACCTTTACAGTGAAGGATTGGCATGTCTGTTGCAATGCGGCTTTTGTAGAGCGTTGTTGGTGACCGATGGCTCAGGAAGTATACATGTGCTTTTGGCCACACCATTTCTGAGTTGCTTCCACGATTGCGGGATGGTGCGCAGAATCTTCGATCGCCCCAGGAGCTTTCATTGAACCACAAGACCTTCTTATAAAGATTATAGACCCCAAGACCAGGTAGAGAACTGCCAGATATACTTTCCTTTGCATTGATACATGTTCCACTTGTGATACCTCCTCTATATTCTCAGCAGAAATATGTTCCAAGAAATTGAGCCTTGGGATCGTCCACCTGGAGAGACATTCAAAGATTTTTAAACTGTGCTGTAACCTTTTCTACCTTCATTGGAGTTTGGAGGATGACGGGGGCGCTTCTACCATGACACTCCTCCAATGCATTTGCTGCTTTGACAATGATCTCTGGGCTGATGCAAACATGGAATCAGTAGTTGCCTATCTGAGAGGCAGCCAAGCGTTAGACTTGCCCAGTGAAATCAGGCAAGTCCTCCGCATGAACCCAAAACCTTGACACAAGGTTGGTTTCTTCGTGTACTTGTGGGGATTTGTATGGGGTTTGCAAAGAAGCAACCGATAACAAACAAACGTGTGTTCTTTCTCCAGTTTGAGCTCTCAAACCTGCTTGTTCTTCAGTTGCTTCTCTCTGTCAGTGGGAGCTTGGACAAAATGAAAAAACTGCGCGTCGGATCGCGTCGGAAAACCAAGTCTTGGCGTCGGAAAACCAAATCTTGGTGTCGGAAAACCAGTTTTTAAAAAATGTTGGTGTTCTTGGGTTTGGATCATTTTATTGCTTCGAAAAGGCATTGGAAGACTTGTAGGACCAACTTATCGGAATTTGCACTCATATCGGAAGTGGGAATGACACCAAAATTGGTTTCCGGCTTTAGAATCTGGTTTCCGGTCTCAAGACCTGGTTTTCCGGTCTCAAGACCTGGTTTTCCGGTGCCTCCAAATTTGCATGCTATATTCCGATTCATTGCTAAATGCACCACCTTTTCGGATTCAGCTCTCGGAGAGTGAAAATTGGTTTTCCCAGCTGTTTGACTGATGGCTTTGGGTGTTTACCAGCGACATGAAAGGGTCGTCCGAAGTTCAACCTGTATTGACCAAAGAAAATTGGTATAAACTTTTCCAGGTTGGTCCAGGTTGACCGATTCCGCGACGGTGTGCTTGCACAGGCTCCCTGGTTCTGGCCAGTTTGGCCGTGGCGATATGAGTTACATCAGCTTCTTAGGCGGGACAATGCATCAGCTTCATGATGTTGCGTGCTTCCATGTATGGCTTTCGTCTGCAAAAACATCGAGCAGTTGATGGGTGAGTTGATATTTGTGTGGACTGTTTTGGAGCTGTAGCTTTTCAAATCCCAATGCGCATGACATGTGTTTCTCTGTACAGGTGTGGGTGAAAGAATCCAGATCCCCTCCGCCAGCGGGAAGCGGAAGCGAGGCACATTGTTGCAGAAGTGGTCATGATGTTTGGTAGCTATAGCATTTCGCGCTATACACATGCTGCAGGCGCTACTCCTACTGAAGGCAGCTCAGAAGATGACAGGTTTAGAGGCACGGATCTTTTTGGCAAAGTTGGCAATTGGTTGATCTTGCAGCCGATGTTTGTGTCATGTTCTTGCTGATTGTCAGTCAGTTGCTTGCTGAGACTTTTTAGCTTGTAGTGTGCATCGGCAAATCTCCAGGCTCTCCACTGGCCTTGCAGAACCAGCAAAGGACAGCTGGTGCGATCCCCCGTTGGGACTTCACTGAGAAAATCTACAGTTTACTATATTCGCAGTTGTCTTGCTTTCCCTTCAGCTGGAGTTTGCTGTGGACACCACAACCTTCTGGCAGCAAAGTGTGTTCAAGGGTCCAGGCTTGTTTGACACGGTGTGCAATGGACCTACCAGTGAGTAGACAGTGGAGTGGGGGCACCTTGCAAGAAGGTGCTTGCGCCCTTGGAGCACAAACTCAGCCACGCGTTTTGGTTCCAAGCCCTTACGCCCCTCGGTTTTGCCTATAAATCTCAAACATGGAAGGTATATACAATCAGTTGAAGGTTTCTTATAGCACTGTCATTGCCAGCGTTCTCAGGTCAAGCAGGAGGGGCAAAGTGTGGATGTTGGTCAGCCAAGTCCACTTACTCCCAAGACTCGGCAAATGATCAGTGCTTTACCTGATACGCCCAAGTCCAGGAAGTTGGTGGCTGAAATTCTTCATGTGGCTCATATTGCTTCAAGCTCAGGTGGTTCTTCTGAGAATGGTGAGTGTGGTGGTTCCTTGACTGCAAGGATGTTAAATGCTTTTGCAAATGTTGCGACAGTGTATACACACTTTTGATGCAATGACATTCCAGGACAACCACCCAAGCGGCCTGGTCAGATGCTTGAATCGAGGGGTGGGAGTGGGGGAAGATGCACTGCCAAGAGGTCCAAAGTAGAGCCACCCGCAGACGAACCAGGCTCTTCCACGGTGCTCGCTCTGGTGGAGCCCGCAACCAGTCCAACCCAGCTGCCTTCGATTGCACCTTCAATCCAGCCAAAGGTGCAAAGGCCTGTTCCTTCCTCTGCGCCTGAACATATGTCAACTGCTGCCACCATGATCTATTCCCCAGAGAATGATGCAGCAGGCGATGCTCATCAAGAAATTTTGAATGCAGAGCGGAAGAGGACTCGACAACTTGAGGCTGACATGGACGCCTTGAGATGCACGCATGTGGCTGAAATGGATGCAGCTCAATCCGCCAACCAGAAGTTGACATCTGAGTTCAACACGCTCAAAGAGTTGTGCGAGGAACAGCAGAAGCAGCTTGCTCAATTGGCTGAGAAGCTAAATGCCCTTGCGAACAGCTCTGAAGCAACCTCGCCTGGTAAGGAGACCGAGCAGCCATCTCCTCCTGAAACCTTGCCATCACCTCCCAACCCTCCCATGGAACATGCTGCTAGAGCCTACTTGGAATCCAAACTGGCCAGCTCGGCTTCCCCTGATGTCATTCCTTCGCCCTCATGCCCTGGTGGTGCAGACATGGCACCTGCAGACATGGCACCGCCTCCGCCAGTGCCCTAATCATGTTGTGCACTGTATGGATTGAACACACCTTGTTTCTGACAGCTTCATCTGTGCCTCTTCAAGGCCAAGCAAGATCGAGCACCAAGCGATCAATTCAATGACCCATCCAGAGGCATGGGCCTTCCTATATCGCTTGACGAAGAAGAAAACTTGCAATGAAGCCATCTACAATGCATGGCATGCAGGAGGGGTTAGCTTTGCTTGCGAGTTGGTTTTGCTTGTGGTCGTTGAGCACTTTGAGGGGTTGGATGGGGAATCGGTTTGCTGAGGGGGGCGTGATAGAGACCGACTGCTGCGTGACTTTGTAAAGTGCTATGCTCCTGGTGACCACCACGAGAACAACAAGGCCTTGGTTCTTGCGTCAAGTGCTTCCATCTGTAGTGCAACCTTGCGAGTCCTTTTGATAATATGCGCAGGCCAAGATAGAGGCAATGTATCGGCTCCGGCAAATGTCAAAGCAGTGGAGGCGGGGGATTCAGGGTTTTGAATGGGTCTCAGAGGAGGAGCTGAAAAGGAAGAAGAAGGATGAGTGGAGCGAGCTCCTTGGACTAGTTTTGGCTCCTTGTTTGCGGCGTGTGGTCTTGCATTTGTTGAATTCGTTCTGTTGGACCTCGTGCATGCAGCTCATGTTCCCAGGAAGAAAATCGCTGGGGCGATCGCGTACTGTGAAAAGCGGAAATTGTACAAGAAATGTCTTTATGAAGGTTGCAGGAAGTACTTGGTGTTGATGGAGGATCGTGTGGAGGTTGGTGATGAGAAAATCCGTGAGCTTGAGGAGCTCGCAGAGGCTGCAGGCCTGTTGTTGTGAGCTGTCCAAGTCTAAACACGCAGTGTGTTTTCAGGTGTTTAGATTGTACTGCAGCTTCCCTCAAGGATTCCTGTCCGAGTCCTATGACATGGGAATCGGTGACGCAGTTGATGTATCGGATGATGAGAGCGAGTCCAAAGACCTCAAGAAGAAACCCACCTCTGGCCTGCCTCCAATCGAGGGTGACGAGACCTATGCTCAGTTCACTAACAAGTACAAGAAGGCTATGCTAAACAGACGCCAGGTCTACAAGGATGTCAGTGAACGCTTATCGTCCGAGGGGTGCACCACACACGAGTTTCTTGATTGCGCCAGGGTTACTAAAGCCTTCTTGTTGCGGTGTGTCACACTTACAAGCTTTGTTGAGATTCAAGAGCCTGCCTAGGAGTGACATGAGTAAGCTGACCGCATCAATTGGCCCTTTGTGTGCACTTATGTTTTGCGTCTGCTTTCTGCATCCTTCCGACTGATGTTGTGGGTGGGACAAAACTCAGGGAAATTGAACTCACACTATGAGAAATGGTGCGAAGCGGAAACAAAGAACACGGCCCAGCAGCTTGCAAGCAAATAAAGTGCGGGAGCAGTTGTTCTTTTTTCCAGCTTACCGGCTTACCGCTTCTAACCAAGGGACAAGAAGGCCTTCAAGGATCTTGCAGAGACTGTTCGCCATGAGTTGGAGCCTTTCTTGTTGACCTGTGCTTGTTGATCCATCTGGATTGGCTTCAGCTTCAGGTGCTCAAATTTCCAGAATATGGTGAACATCGTGAAGTTCGCAACCTATACTTTGCAGCTGTTTGATTGAATTGAAGCTGTGCTTGCGTAGACTGTTTCCTCCGATTCTTTCAGATATGCTTCATCGTGCCATTTCTTGAGGACACACTTCAAACGCAAGCCGAGAGCCGCGAAGACAACCAAAGAGGAGTGAACCACTTTGTAGTATTCGGAACCTTCAGGGGGAATCCCAAAGTCACCATGGTTCATTTGTTATGGCCGAATACCAAAGATGTTTATTTGTTGTACCCTTGAATACTTCCACCGAACTATTTTGGTGTCCGTGGGAGTGTGACACAGAGATTCCAGTTTTGCGGTTGCCACGGAGGCAAGGAGCCTGTGTTGTCTCATCCAATACAAAATGCTGCCTTGAAAATTTGAGTTTGCGCAGCTGGCGTGCTGTTTTCCAACTTTCCCCTTTGAGGGAGGGAAATTGTCACCAAACTCTGTGTTTCCAAAAGAGCGTGCTCCTTGCGCAGGTCTGGCATCGTTGAAAGATGTGGTTGAGACATATGTGGATCCTTGGAACGGCAAAAACACATATAAATTGTGTGTACCCTTGTGTGTACATATATATATATATATTATATATATATATTGGATTGATTTTTCAATAGTAATGGGGTGAGTGCTTTGGGGATCCACCAGGGTTCGAGCAGAAACTGAGTTTGAGTGTGTTGCCACATGGTTTCTTGCGATCAGCCTCTCAGGAAAGAAGTGCTGTGAAAGCAGTTCAGATCGCAAACAACCACTTCAAGACCATGTCTCCTGGCCATTATGGCCAGGCACAAATGTTTGAGTTGGGGCGAGCTGCAAATAGTGGCTCACAGAACTGCGAGAGAACGCTGACATCTTCTTTGAAATCTTTAGGGCTCAGTTTGCAGGCTGATGTTGACTTCACCCAAGTCAAGCGCATCGGTCATGACAAAAGGGTTTCATGGACGGCCTACCCAGTCCTGCCAATCAAGAGTCTAGCAGAAGCAATTTTGAAGCAGTATCCTGAGAAACTCCTGGCTGGCCATGGGCCACAAGAACTTCCGTGCATCCAAGGCCTTTTCACTCGTTTTTGGAGACGGTACAGGAGGGTGAACAAAGAACATCCAGTGTACCAAGACCACCAAAACGAACTACAGTGGTGCATACCATGCAGAATACACACAGATGAAGGGACTGGAAAGATGAAGCACCCCGTGCTCCAACACAGCTGGGGGCCGTTCCTCAAAGCCGGTCAGGGGTCACACCGCCATTGCTTCTTGTGGGCATCTATGCCTCACAAGCTCTACAGTGCTGCTCACAAGGGCTTTGAGTTGGGCAATGCTGTGATTGACTCGTTGATGGCAGAATTTGCTATCCAAGCTCGAGGTGCATATTTTTCTGGAATATCTATGAAGTTCAAAGATCAGTCCATGACATGGTATTTGGTTTGGATTGGGCATGAGGGGGATCTAGCTGCGATGGCTAAGATCTACCACTGCAAAAGGAACTACAATGCTGTACCGAATGAAATGTGCTATTGGTGTCAAGGCAATGATAGGTGTATGCCGTTCACAGATGTTAGAAGTTCTGCTGCCTGGAGAGCCACAGTCGGGTGCACAAGACCGTGGACTGTTGCAAGTTCTTTGGTGGAAATTCCAGGGGCGAGTGTGGCGTCTTGCTGTTGACCAACAACTTTGTGCTGGTTTGGTGTTCTTTTAGGGGAATGGGAATTAATCATGCACATGTTGTTTTGTCATCACCACATTTGCCAAAAGCACTTTACAGACTTTACACGTGTGAGGAAACATTCATCAGCAAGGACATCTTCCACATATGCTCATTAGGAGTTACTAGAGCTCTTGTGGCAAGTTTGATTTGCTACCTGGTGCATATGGACCACTTTGTGCCAGATTTGCCAGAATTTGGGCGAGGTGTCCCTCAGAGATTGACAAAGGCTTACTCAGTGTGCGCTTGCTTTTGCAAACAAGTTCTGAAGGAGAGCCCTCATCTCAAGATTTTTACCAAAGAAAATCTGCACTGGAGTAGTTTGGCATCAATGCCAGACTCCACGATGAAAGCATCTGACGTGGCGATGTTCCTCAAATGGCTTTGTGACTACATGTCTGGACCCATCGAATTCGATGATGTTCTTGAACTTGCATTCAAGGCAGTTTGCAGCATGGATGATTTCATGCGCCTTGTTTACACTGCTGACCGCATTTGGTTGACGAGGGCAGAAGCTACACAGGCGACAGGCCTGTTGACAACATTCCTGGAGTCGTACTACAAATGCTCGTTGTGCTGCTTCCGGAAGAAACAAAGCTTCTTCAACCTTACTCCAAAATTCCATTATTTAGACCATGTCCGATATGACTTGCGAAAGTCATTGGATGATCCAGAAACCCGTGCCTTTCTCAACCCAGCAGCATGGTCAACCACCATGGACGAAGACTTTGTAGGGGTTGTTTCCAGGATTGGGCGAAATGTCCATGCAGCAAATGTTGGCTTAAGAACGGTGAACAGGTGGCTCGTGTATGCCAACACCCGCTGGATGGATTGGTCAGCCGGAGGCTGATTGTCCAGACAGTGGCGGACTGGTGAGGAGTTTGGCGTGGAAAATGAGCATGGGGCAAACAAAGGTATACTAGTGGTGAAAGTGGACCTGGACCAAAATTGGTCTAACCAATTTTTTTTGGTTTTCCAGTGATTACCAAAAAAATCTTAGCGGTTGAGTGTCCAGGTACCTTTGACAGTCAGTATGTCTTAAGTACTATACTTGTAGTTCGAGAAAGGCCTCTACTCACCATCATCCACTGTCACTGGTAATAGGATAGACAATGATAGACCCAACGATTTTTGCACTCAGATACCGCTGGTCCGTTGCTGCCGCTTCTAAGCGACGCTTGTTTGTTGGACCGCACGCATCACTTCTGCCAATTCCACTCGGGTCTCCCGGCGGTGCCCAGCCCGGCTTTTCCGCTTCGAAGTTGGGCATGTACTTTACAGTCCACAACGGAACTCTGCGGGAGTTTTGACAGACGAGCATTTGGAATGGAGACAGCTGCATGTTCTCAGATGTTCAAAGCGCTTCAAGAGACCATGATCACCTGTTTGTGACATCTCCGGCCGTTCGAAGTGGCACACGGCGAGTTCGCTCCGTGGCTCTTGTTCTCCACTCTTTGACTCCCTCGCGGACACCATGCACTGTTTGGTCGCTGGAGCGACGAAGGCCCATCGCATAGCTTCCTCCCCCAAGCATCATCCCCTGCTGCTTCACCAGGATCTACACAAATATGCAGTACCCAAATGTTTCTAACTAGGACAACTATAGGACAAACACGTGAACCGTGTCACAATCATGTTGGGACTAAGAGATACAAATCATATATTGTTACAGCAAGTGTCTAGTCAGTTGTTGCCTTTTCCCTTGTCACAAGGAAAGAGAACAACATGAAAGATTTCTGTTGGTGTCAGACGGTGTCAGTGCCCAAACTCCCAAGTCACCATGTCAAAGCGAGCTGGACCTTTCTAAAAAGCAACGGTTTTGAAAGCAGTGTTTGGAGTTGGGGGGGTTCACTAGATTGGCCCCGTCATAAACCGTGTGACAAAAGTTTCAACAACCACAAACCGTTTCAACAAGAAAACACAACTGTGTCGAAACTGGTGACTGTTGGACCCACAAATCTGGAACCTGAACGGATCGCAGGATGGTACCTCCCCAAAAAATCCTTAGTCAATGAAAAACAAGCATATATGGATAATTATGGATATATATATATATATGGAACATGTATATACAATCATTTAATATACCTACATTTGGGTGTTTCTTTAGGTGCTTCAGGGCCTGACCGGGTCAATGTAGGTCAAAAGAAAGGCAACTAGGCAACAGTCCCATGGAGATTCTGGGAGTGTTCCAAAGGTTGTATGCCGTGCGTCTCGTGCGTCGGGCCCGAGGAAGAAGAGCGGAAGAAATCGAGGAGAGTGGCCGGCCATACCACCTGTTGCTTTCTGGGTTTGATGGATTCGTGGTTAGACGCCAGGAAGTTGAAGGATAGGTTCATATAGGTTCTTAGTGAGAAGAACTCAATTCTTCAAAGGCTCGTTTTGGAGTCTCCCTTGTAGCCCAGCTCATGGATGTTCATGGTGCTTCTGGGTTAACTAGGCTAGCTTCTGTTAAGGTGAAGCCCTGCCCTGCTTCACGCAGCGAAAGCCTCCTTTTCGCCTTCCGTTTGGCAGGACTGGTCCTTAGAGTTCATCTCGAAGAAATATGCCCCTGAGGCCGACTGTCACGCGGTGCCGTGCATCCGTTGGTTTGGAAGCTGGTTCGGGACACCTCTCGGTTTTCTCACGGGTTCGCGAAACACGACGACACGGACTGCTTTTGTGGGTGAGACTTGGTGGGTGAGACTTAGCGGGGTGTGGCAAAAAAGCTGGTGTGGCAAAAGGAGAAGACACGAAACCCAACATGTTCACTCGATGAGGGTCTTCTCATTAATACCTCAAAATTGGACAGCTAGCATGTGGAGCTGTAATCGCTGAATCGAGCTGAGGGAACGGGTCGTTAGTTGTTGAAACTAGTTGAAACGTGTGTTGTTGGCAGACATTCCACAGAGTCCGGTTTTATGGTTTAAAAGGCAGACATTCCCATCAAATCACCCAAATATAGGTCTGCGATATGCCATACATACATGGAGTGATTAGGTTCTGCCGAGTTAGGTTTGGAAGACAGCACAGATCTGCGATCCATAGCTTGAGGCATTGCCTCACATTAAAACAGATGCCATCGAATACCCCCCATGAATAGATCCAACAATGTACCCTGACCTGGTAGTGGATAAATATGACTTCCAGATGGGGAATGTCCCCCGAGTCAAGCTACGGAAGTTCTGGGATACACCTTCTGGAAAGGTCTCAGATTCGCCGGTTCTGTATAGGGATGATACAACTCGGCTACCCTCCCTCCAACGTCCACCTTCCTGGAATACGTTTTTTCCTGAAATCAGAGGAGCATGGTCCGCTTCCATGAGATTCCAAGAGGGGTTCAGCGACCTGAAAAGAGCCTTTTCGTATGGGGTACCAATGAGACTATGAGAGAGATCTGTTTTACCTCTCTTGGTTTCTCTTTTGTTTCACATCCGAAGCACGGCAGGTGGCCAAGATTCGGGAGCTCTGCAAGGACCCCGGTCTCGCGGAGACATCTCACATGGAGACCGGAGACACGGGACGGTGCGCGAGCGCGAGCGCAGCAGGCCGGGTGAAGGGTTCGTGCCGGTGTCTTAAGAAGAAATAGGAAGAAATCTCGTGAAACACCAAGCTAACAACACCAATCCTGGGAGTGTTGTTGATTTAGAACGTGTTTAGAGAACATGGTCCAACACGAACGGTGACCCCGAAAAGGGAATTTCCATTGAGTTTCCTCAATGTGTTCGAAAACTATAATTAGTGACCAAAGATGGCCGCTTTAACAGCGAAGTCTCCAATTGAACCTGGAAGCTGTTGGCGTCAGATATGCGAGATAGATCGCGTCTTTGTTTTTTAGTTTGGGGCCTCCAAACAACAAACTCATGACCGCCCTGGACGAAAACTGACGCTTTGGGAATAGATGGGTGCGAATAAGTCTCTGAGTGAGACTGTGAGACCATCACGTGTGGTACTCTGCCCCAGCCATTTCTGGAGGATGAGACCTGGAATTGCAAAGAGACCCGAGATCCCGTGGTCTTTCTCTTCAATATCTCTTTCCGATCCCAGAATCGACAAACCGTGACACGGATCACCGGGGGAGAGAGGGGGATAGGTCTAGACTTCTGATGGGTTTCAGGGTCCACCCCGGTGCGGGTCGCCTGCCGGAGAGGGAACCCCCGAGCTGGAACTGCTAAGGCTTGTGAAAACCGAGCTTCGAGAATTCAGAGCCCTGGCTCTGGACCTCCATCTTGAAGGCTCCTTTTTGTGGCGTTTAGGGGGTCCGAAAAAGGACATGTCCGTCATATCATCGTATCGTCATCAACACATCCCTCCTCGCGCCTCGCACGAGGAGCTCCCAGAGGACTACGATGATATCAAGTTAATGCGTCCTTTGGCAAAGGGGAGCCGGAGTTTTCTTTGAACCGGCCGCTGGCCTGACCAGTCGACCTAGATTAAAGATGGCCTGACCAGTCGACCTAGACTGGTTGGTTGATGAATAGGGAACCATATATGCATCAACTCCTCTATTATTCTTGAAAGGACATCATTGGCACTTAGACTTCGACTTGCAGCTCCAATGATTTGTTCATGTTTGACCACATGGTGTCGACGATATGGGACAGAAGAGCAACACGGTCTGATTCAGAAAGCTGTGCAAAGACCAAGCAGATCATGAGATCCAGTCGCCTCCGCTTCGACCTGCCTAGTACTGGTCGCTCGACCAGACCAGTACTCTACCAGTCGCCTCGAAGACCGAAGACCGCCTCGAAGGAGGAGACCTGGCAGGTGGAAATCGGCTGGAAGTAAATCCGATTCCATCGATCAGGAGGCTCTTTGAGGCGTTCTTCGGTTCACTGGTTTGAGGGTCTCCTGACTTGAAAAATGATCAGAGAACAACAACTTGGGGCCGGGATGAGGATGGATGTGCTGGTCGAGATGCAAGGAAGTTACGGCATGACTAGGAGAAGTGACATGGAAGGTGGAAAAAAACACCTGTTTTGTAGATGGAAGTGGTCGTCTCCAGGGGTCTGTGTTCATCTATGTTCCACTTCCACTTCCTACTGCATTTCAGGGTCCGAGTCAAGGCGCTTTTCTTAAACCTGTTTGTCGTTGGGTGCTTCTCAGAGTCCGAGGCTATGCGATGCAACATCCCGGCAAGCCGGAAGACGCTGCGGCCAATGTGCAGCTGACCTGTGATTCCGTGGCACGGAATGGAGCACTACTAACCGGGGGTTGAAACACCATGACATGTCATGAGTCATGACTGAATGGAGAACAGACAGACCCGGAGACTTCTAGAGGAGGGGGGTCTCAGATCCGATTTTGGAGGTCTCCAGAACCTGCAGGGTGAGACGATTCATGAAGATTCTGATGTTTCATGATGTAAGAAAGGAACTTGGCACCATGTGATTCCTAACCTAAGAAGGATGAAAGAGTTGAGTTGTGTCACATTGAATCTTTCGGATGAAGATCCATTTGCATTCTATTGATGCCCTGGAACTTGGCACCACCAACGCTCTCATAAATTCCTCGGCTCGGATCACCGTTCGTCAGACCATGTGTTAAATCTACGATGTGGACTCCCATATCGATCGCCCATCGCTGAATTTGAGGCTTGACATGGGCTGGACCATGCTGAAAATTGCTGAACCCTTTTCTGTCGCACCTTCCTCTTCGCCTTGGACGTACGCAAAACAGAGATACTCTGGGAGGATCTTGCATACCTCAAAGACTCCATGGGATTGAAATCTATTTGGGGATGGGACATGGCACCTGGAGCGGCCGCGAGTAGTGCCGCGAGTCCGACCGAGTATCGGTGGGTCCACCGCCCGGTCTGCCATCGGATCTGTGGCGACCACCACCACCCGTCCGGGACGACCACCACGTCCATTGCACCGTTCACTTCGGGACCACGTCGGGTGGTGGGGGGAACACCCCGCCGTATCAGGTGAAAGAAGTCTTGGCATGGCGACAAGGCGACGGACGGATGGAGAATGGGAAACAGCGACAGGACTCGAGGTGTCCCAAGCGGATGATCTACCGAGTTGATTGGTTTTGGTATGTTTTGGTGATATAGGAGGAATCATGATGTATCCACAGAGGATTAGATATATAGAAATACTGAGAATATGATTCAGTTCCGGATTTCAGCATCAAACGTCGAAGTACGTGAAAGTTGTAGTGAATTTGGACGCAGACAGACGATGTCACCCTGCGACGATCCCTGTGTTCATCATCTTTCATCTATCACTGTAACTATCGTTCGAGATCCAGTCGTACCTTCTCAGGTTCGGTACGACTGGACCCGCTAATGGCACCTACATCATCGGCTCCAATCACCAAACCGGTTCGGTACGAGTCGACGGATCGGAAAGATCGCAATGATCGTCACCTCGAAGGACCGGTCTGATGAGATTCGCAGATGATCCTGATCCTCATCTCATGTAGGTACGAACGTCCAACGATGGCATTGGCACCCGACAGGTTGGTCACCTTGACAGTCACCTCTACAGACCAACTCCGCCCACGTGACCGGTCTTCGAGTCGATGCGGCGCTCTGCTTCCACCGGGTCAGAGGAGCAACGTTTTGATGGTTGACAGGGCGGACAGAGACAGACCGTTTGTGGACTGACGAGAGGTGTGGGACGCTGAGCCAGTAAGCAGAGTTTTCGGTGGCCACATGTTGTGCACCTGTCCTTCTACATCTACTTCGGTATACTTTGTTTATCTTCGTTTATTGAATCCAAGATTCAACATGTTCAAGTTTCAGCGGTTGAGTATGTCCGGTGACCCAGATGAGCAGATGTTTGAAGCCTTTCCACCGGGAGAATGCTGGAAGTATACCATGGTCGCTCCACAGGCGAAGGCGCCCAGTTGTGTGAGGCAGCGGCCAAGGCCATCGAGAAGGCCTGGAATGCGTGAGGATACATGAGGAGAGGTGGAGGAGTGGAAGGGATTCCTGATGAAGGCGAGAAGGCGCCTTCTTTTGGGAGAAAATTGGTTTAAGAGGCAGACTCCCGAACGCGCTGGTTGAGTAGACTGGTAGGTAGACTGGTCCTATCTCCGTCTCTTTCAGGTCGTCTCCCTGAAGGAAATGACCTCCCAAATAGGAAAAATGGGGTGTAGGTGTATAGGTTTCGGCCGATCCTCAAGTGGGGCTCTTCAAAATATAGATAACCCAGGACACACTATAGGTGTAGATGTTTCAAATGACTTGTACTTATGGGCCCTCTAGCGTTTGGCCAACGTTTTGGAGAACATCCTGTACAGTGGAACAGACGTGTGATGAATTGGTTTTTGTTTTTCATTCCAGAAATCGTGGCTGCGTTTCTCGTGTATGGTCTCTCACCTCGCTTGAGAAGGTCAGGCACCTCGCTTTGGGACGAGAGGAGGCTTGGGGTCACAAAACCATGTTTGTTTCAAGGATCATTTCCACATTCCACGACAAGAGCTCCCACTTTTGGAACATGGGTTCATGTTTCATCATGTTTTGTAGGTGGATGGCACCATCCACAATCCGACGCGCGATCCAAAAAGAGGGGCAACAGGATTCCTGGGACGTCTTTCTCACGGCGCTCATTCCAAGGCGCAGGAAGGTGGAGGATGGGACAATGCGCCAGTGCTAGCAGTGTGGGACCTGAGGGGGCGAAGCAGCACGCCCACGTTTGAGGCTGTGACCATGTGGGTTTGTAGTCTGTGGTGAGTGACACGGTTGTTGGAAACATGGCGTACCGCATGGTGGAACCAGATGGAACCCAAAGAAATGAACAAAGAACGTGACTCAGAAGGCAGTTTAGAGATGCTGCAAGCATTCTTCCAGATGGGCTGCATCATCTACACCGTTACTACACCGCTCTTTTTCTTCCGTCACCAAACCCAGAAATGGATCGCGAATACAACACTGGCAGATTGGGTATCCCCATGTATCCCCTTCTTTTTGCTTGGACCGTCCGGTTTTTTCTTCGGACCTTTCATGTGAGAAACGCCATGATGTGTTGGTTTCAAAAGACCTACATGCTGTGTTGATTTGTTGTGTTTAAGTAGCAAAAAAAAATGAAAAGAGACATGGTCATTAGACTCCGGAAAAGACACTAGCCGGTGGAGTGGAGTCCAATCAGAACGCTGCCGTGTCGACTCCATGGAAAGGTCTAGGAGTCTAGACGTCCACACAGTGTTTTTGCTCTTCGATCACCTGTTTGTCGTGTGATTTATGTGCTGCTCATAAACTGGTCTGTGATCGATCGACGTCCACAGTGTTTGTTGCTTTATAGTTAATTAAGTTAATAATATGTAATAATATAGCCCTAGGGATCCAGTCCAGTTGTACCGAGCGTACGAGGTTCGGTACGACTGGCCTAGCGAGATCCCGCCGTTCTTGCCTGGCGTGCCAAGGCCGCGCCATATGCGGACAAGGCTCGCGTTCGTCGGGCTTGTGGCCTTTGAACGGCCTTCGTTGGTAGAAGGATGTAGAAGGGGAGAATACCAGTGATGCTGCTGGGCTAGACCCGCTGCTAGGATACCATAGGTGGCCTGACCGGTGCCGTTGCTTGGTTGGTTGAGGAAGAGACCCCTAAGGCCCCAAGTGAAACCAAACAGACCTCTCTCTTCTTACCGTTTGGGTGGACATCAGACAGAGGACGAAGTTTGCTCCGGTGGAGTTGATGCGCACAACACCAGACAAGGGTGGAGTCACTCCATGGGAGTAAGGGTGGAGCTGCTCTGTGGAGCTGCTGTGCGTTTGTCCGTTTTGCCGTGAGAAGCAACAAAAACATCAAACGACACATACCGCAGCCTGCGTTAGCCTGGGAAAAAAACCGGCATGTGCCGGCCATTTGGAGTACTCGGGAAGGTACATCGATTTGAGACTACTTGTTGCATGTTTCTTTCGATATGTGGTTACTGTAAAATGGTTCAAAACACTGAGTATGTCTTCTTCGGTGTCTGAAGATGTTCACGCTCGCCCACAGCCCCATGTAAATCGGAAAGGACCTGCCCCTCTTCGGCCCACATTCTCCGACCACAGATCTGCCAAGCGATTCGGGCTGCTCCGCGGCACGCAGATCTCCAAGTACATTACACCCTCGCAGATGGTGGTGGTGAGCACCAAGGCCGGGGTTCAGGACTGTCTTGGAAGACCACGGGGCCGGCCCGTCATGGTGACATGGACCAGTCGAGTTCACCACCGTCATCCGAGTCCTCGGTGCGCCGGTCCGTTTGCATGGGTGTGTTTTAGGGAGCTACGTGCGCTCCGGCCGTTGAAGGTTGAATCCTTGGAAGTGCACTAGTACTGCAGGTATCTGCAGATAATTGTAATTATAGGATCCATTGGTTTTCACAAAAGCCTGAGTAGATGGGGCATCGTGGCACGATTCCCTTCTCCATGCAACCTGGTGTAGCATGTTGAGCCTCGCAAGTGAAACGTGTTCATCATGTGTTTTTTAAGGGCTCGGGCTGGGTGTTGATGTTTATGCAGACAGTTTATTTTTATGCAGTCAGATAACCGGGCAGGTGTGGTTTTGGGGCAAGGGTGTTCCTTTTTATGCAGCAGGTACCTAATTTGTCGCTGGTGGTTATTTTTTCTAGGCTCACAAATTCGTTCTTTATGCAGGTGGTTATTGTTTTTGTTGATGCGGAGGGTCCTTTTTTATGCAGACATTTCTTGTTTGATGCTAGGGGATTTTCCCTCTCCCCGCATGCATTGTTTTATTCCCGTGGTTCTTTTATTCTAGGCTCACTGTTCCTTTATGCAGTTGGTGTCACTTTCAGCGGAGGGTGCTCTTTTATGCAGACGGTTCTTTTTTCATGCTGGTGGACCGTTGGACTTCCCCCTCCCTCCAAAATCCTTTCCCTTCCTTTTATGTCTCTTCCTTCTTCAGATTTGTCTTCTCTTTCCGCTTCTTGTGGCAGGCTGGGGTCTTCTTCGTTTTTTAATGCCGACAAGTTGTTTGGCCGTGTTTTTTGGATTCTAGGCTCACAGGTTCTTTTGTATGCACGTGTTTTTTTTTTGCGGAGGGTGCTTTTTATATGCAGATCGTCGACGTTTGTTTAACGGTGGATTTACCCTTTTCACCAAGTGGTGGCGGTGGGGGGAATCCCTTTCCTTCCTCAGCTTCCTTTTCCTTCCTCTTCCTCTTTTTTCCCATTCATCTTTTTGCGCGAGGCTGTTTTTTGCTTTATGTTTATGTCACATGTGGACTATTTTTTTGTTCAGTTTCTCCTGTTTGATCCTTTTTGGTCTGTAGTTCTTGTATGTTCGTGTGATGTGATGTGTGGTTTCTTTCGTTTTTGTTCCTGTGTCGGTCATTTTGTTGTTTTTTTTGCTAGTTTGAGTTGTGCTTGTTTTTCAGGTTTGTGTTGCTTCATATTCTCGGGATCGGTGTTGTTTCTTGTGATGCTCAATTTGTTGTTTTCTATGTTATGTTGGTTTACTATAGTTTCATGGTGTGTCGCTTTTCAGTGTTTGTTTGTGTTTAAACCGTACCTCACTATCGTGTGATGTGTGTTCTTGTGATGTGATGTGTGTAAAAGTTAGGCGAGGAAGGAGCCATTCCAACGTAGCATACCTTTTGTGAGCCATTTGAGGGTGGTAGTTCGACAAGGAGGGAGCCATTCCAACGCAGCATTTTACCCATGCAGTTCAAGCGGAAGGCTTTGATTACATCTTCCTGGCCAATCCACAGAAAGCAGAGCGCTGCACTGAACTGAGCAAGGGGTTTAACGCTGGCTTCCCAGAGGAGGAGAGCCCGCGGAAAAGACGAAAGACACATGTGGATGAGTCAAAGGCGCCGGATGTTGACACTAAGCCAATGCTGTTGCTGCCGTCGTCAAGGCTACCCAGCTAGGGGCTAGCAAGCTCGATCCCTTGTGATCCTAAGGCCGACGAAGCCCTTTGCAACGGAACTGGGACAAGCCAGAGCAGCAACTGCCGAAGGAAGCAGAAGCAAAAGCAGGCGCTTGCGGAGCACCTCAGAACAGAAGCCCGGGTTAGGTGGCAGCTTCTGCATACCAAGCGCCCTGCTTTATCCAGAGTTCTCCACAAAAATTACAGGCTTTGGCCTGGGATACTATAGGCATGCAGCAATGTTCCGGTCAGTCAAAAAGATCACAGTGCCTGATCGCTTGACCTTCCTCTCCTTTTTTTGGATGCTTGGCTGGCTTGCTTCAAGCCACCCGAGGGAAAAGATTAGAGGAGGAAGGAACGATTCCAACGTAGCATCCCTTTTGTGAGCCATCCGAGGCCAAAATTTACACAAGGAAGGAACCTACCTGTCCAGCGTTGCATACTTTTTGTGACCCTTTAGAGGGTATATTTTTGGGAGGAAGGAACAATTGCAACGTAGCAGGCCTTGTGTGCGTCGGGTGTGATTGGGAGCCACCCAAAAATCAAGTTTTTGAATGTTTTAGAGTAAAAGGCACGCAAACATAGAATAACAGTTTTGTGAGCTACCCATGGAGATAAAGTTTATTTCGAAGAAGAAGCAACCAGCCCCCTGCAAAAAGAGGGAGGAAGAGGAAAACACACTATCAACGGCATAAAAAGAGAACTGCCTGCATAAAAAATGCATCTCCCTATGTAAGAAACAGAACCGCCAGAATTAAAAACAAATTGTCCGCGTAAATAGAACCGCCAACCCCCCCGCATGAAAAAGTTTGGCACAAGAAAGAATAGTGAATAGTCCAAAATAGAACATCACCAACATCAAAAAAAAAACTACATAAGACGTCGGCATAAAATAGAACCCTCCAGCCTTTAGCATAGATTTTTTTACAATTATGTATGTTATTTAATGATAGAAACATATTCCAAATGTTGAAGTGAGAGTAGTCAGTTGCCACTGGTTCCGCAGGTTTTTGGTCTTTGGCCCTTGGAACGACTACCAGGGTAGACCTGGTCATATATATATATATGTCGAAAAGGGGGTCGCAGAAAAGGAGGTAAGCCGCAAACCCAAGCTTGATCCAACACCTCCAGATTCTTGGCCCATGATTGATTTAATTTCCTGAGCCCCAAACACGCTTGGTTTTACTAAGGATTGTACACCGCAAAGCCAGCTCAACCAAACTCCGTTAATGGTCACGAAAGGCTAGGGAAACGGAAAAATGGAGAGATCGGTTCCCTGTGTAATTAGAGGAAAAGCGTCTTCCCAGCAGCCTACAAGATTGTATTGGAGGAACTCCACACAGCTCCCATGCCTCCGTCCATCCGTCCATCCGTCCGTCCCTCCTTCCATCCATCCAACACATGACTCTGGATCTTGCCCGTGCTTCTTCCTGACATTCGCCGAGCTCAATCTCAGGGTGAGGTCCTCCAAATCTGCTTGGTTAGGTTATTCTAGGGTTATCCAGGGTTATTTGGTTGTTGCACCAAATGGTAGTCGGGATCCATGTCTCCTCTCCGCCCTCCACTTTGCTTGGCCCACCACCTCAACCAGGTCGGTGACTTGGTCACCTGCATCCGGGCCTCCACCATCGAAACTTGGATGGGAAGGGGGAGCGGGGTCGGGTCCAGGGCCCTGCCCCGCTTTGGGAGAATGGGGTGGAGGGATTTCGGATGATTTCGGCGATTTTGAGGGTTCGGAGGTTAACTTGACCACCCCGTGGCCGCCGTGCTTTGAGTGTTTTGCATGTGCGTGTGTTTTGCATGTTTTTGCAGTGTGAAAATGGTGCCAGGGGTCCGTCTTCCAGGCACCCTGAGGTTCTATTGGCAGATGGGGCGAGCATAGAATCGGTTTGATCTAGAGGAAACGGGATGCTGGCCCATCCTGAATCACTTACCTTAACCCTGACGAATCTGAGCCAGACATGAGATGGGTTTGTATTTTGGGGAGACCTCCCAAAGGCCTGTCGGCATTGCAGGAAGATAGACCAAAACTCATTGGCTGCGTGTCTTCATGTGTCTCCCTATGCACATCCAAATGGGTTGATTCGGATCTGTTTTGCGGAGGGCGGACTTGCAGCAGATAGACAAGTGGATCTGAGTTAGTTTGTGCTTCACCAGGATTTGTCAAGTGTTTGTAGAAGACAGAAGATATAGGGAACATCGCAGGGGTTTTCCAAATCGAACTCTGCTTTGGGATGATCAAAACCTCAACGACCGAACCCCAACAAACGAACGGTGATCCAAACAGGAAGTGCACCATAGTGCACCCATTGCCAACATCCAGGTGTTTGACAGTGATTCATGATCAACTCAAACCCCTTGGAAATATTTTACGTTTTTTGAGCATGAAAACTCGAAAGGATCCAGGATGGTGAGCCACATGGAAACAGAGCCGCATGCGCAACGGTTCTCCCAAAGAAGAACATATCACACGAAATCACACCATGGAACCAGAGGACCTGCTTGCTCTTCGAAGATGAAACTCTCCCATGTTGTTCTTTCAGAAGTGGAACTCTATGGCTTATACTTCATGGGAATCATCATGGAAGTGACATGGAAGTGAGTTGCTTGGCCCCGATTTGGATGACCATGAAATCATCTTAAATGCACAACCGTGAATTCCGCACCAAGGACAGTGAAGCCTTGATGAAGGAAGTCTCCGAGGAGGATGGGGGAACAACCCTGAGCGAACCGCCCTGAACTGGCACACACGTCAAGCTGCCTGCCTGACGTGCCCCTGCTGGCTCAATACACACGCATCCTGTGGTACCGTGGCTCCCTCTAGTACCCAACAGAATCCGCTATAGTCTAGTTGGTTAGAATACTCGACTCTCACCCGATCGACCCGGGTTCAACTCCCGGTGGTAGAATTTATTATCTGCTACCAAACACATGGGAGCAGGCTGTAGCGATGACACATAGTTGCCTGCGCTTGTCAAGCAGGATGAAAAGGAAGCAAGAGCTAGGGCCTTAACCCTGGCAAGAGCTTGGTAAGGAGGGGGCTTGAAGACTGGATATGAGACAAAGCCACATTTGAGCAGTACCGGGGATGAGTTGTGTCTTTTTTGAGGAGCGTTTCTGCAGTTGGCCACGTGGTGTGCATGATGGCCAGCCGTGGAGCCAATGCATCTGTACAGAGTAGAAACAGTACGGGGGGGTAAATGTCGGGATACTTAAGGAGAAGGGTGAGAAAGTTCTACACTCAGATGGGCCCAAACCTAACGTGGGGCATTTGGGGTTGATCATTCGATCGCTTTGCTTTGCGCCTGTGGTGGGTGGTTCTATCCAACTCCGACATTCGACCCAAATCAGCATACCCATGCTCTCACTCATGATGGTTTTTGTATGATTTTGTGTGATGAAATTAATGATATTAATGGCTGGGAGTTACTGTAAGATCTGCGAAGTCTTGGCTTTGTGCTTGGCCAGAGAACGTGCAAAACATGAGAGCAGCAGCTACAGCTAGCAATTCTAGATTCGGTGTTCTAGGTTTGGCGTTGAGACTTCGTCGGGGCTTTCGATACTTAAATGCTCACGAACAGACCTGTTGCTAGTCAATGATCATGTTGCTAGCTGTTGCTCAGGAGAGGGAGAGATGGCGATAGGCTTGCCAGGGAGTTCCCCAACCCCGACAGCTACCAGCATCCGAGACCTACCAGTTCACCAATTGAGACCTGTATTCGGGCCCTTCCCAACCCTCCAACGAGGAGAGACCTGCCAGGGAAAAATGCTGGTAGATTAAATCCTCACAGGTCTCTCCCTTTGACCCGTTCTTGATTTTCCAGGAGATGACCGAGTTTTTCATTTATGCCAAGATCCTAGATGGGCTTTCTGGCTGGTTTTGTGGAGCTACATCACCTACAAAACCTTCTTGGGGATTGGTGTGCCAAAACGCCAGGAAACATCAACAGGTGGACAAGAGTTGGCCTTTACCATGCCTTTATCCTATAGAGCAAGAGGAAAGTCAGACTAGGGAAGGAGGGTGGCTGATGTTCAGTGGCCTTCAATGAACATCGTTCGGCCACTGTGGCCACTCCCTTGTTTTGTGTCTATTTTCAGCGGCTTCTGTTCTTTAGGAAGGTTCTGATTTTTCGCAGCAGTCGAGTAACCGCTGGTTGTCCTCACGGATCCACTGCTTGGGGTCTGGGGCGATGTTTGGAGGAAGAAGAAAGAACAACCAGGAGTCACAAGAATGGGTGTCCCATCCAGTGAGTGGATCCTGGGCACCCCGACTACCTCCAAGTTCGGCACCCCGTCTTGTGACTCCTGGAAGAAGCAAAAAGAGGTGGAAGAAGAATGAAGAAATAGACCAGGACCCACAAAGGGGTGCTATAGTCACCCCTGGTTTTTTTGTTGATGTTGTTGTTTCTTAAACCTTTGTCAGCCTGGTCTGAACAATTGAAGCAAAACAATAGCTCAAAACTTAGATGTTTGCGAGGTTTGAGCCGAAAACCACTGTAAAACACAGCGTTGTTGATCATGTGTTGCATTAACAACAAAACATTGAGGCAAAAAAATATGGATCAAAACCAAGGTTTTGGTGATGTTTCAGCCAAAAAGCACTGTAAAAAAACTGTGTATGTGCACCTTTGCTGCATAAAAGCCATCTCTCAGGAAGACCCGTTCTGTGAAAATACAGGCAAACAATGGGGTAAACAACATCTAACCACCAGAACCTTCCAACGAATTGACTTCGAGCCTATCGGGATCCATCGGGTATCCCAACAAGACCTGGCAGTGCTGATCTCTATAGCCGCGTGCCAAAAATCGTAACCTATAGTGCTTTGATCTCAGGTGAACCACCCAATCGGGAGTCATGTATTCAGTCATGTATGTTAATAGGGAAACCCAGAATGATCGCCGGCTGGGTAGACTGGGTCTTTTTTCCAAACCCAATTCAGAGGGTCCTCTTTGGCACACCACACCCATATGACATTATGTGGCTGTGGGTCAAAACCCGGAGCCCTTTCCCTGGTAGGTTGACCATGTTTGGTCGTCTATTCTGCTCATGGTGGTCAACCAGGGTTTTCCGGTGGGATGACCCACAGCCAATATGCCAGTCCGACACTGGTCGTCTTAGGTTGATGTTTTTTTCGTGGAAAATGCAATTTTAGAAAAGAAACACGGTGGTTAAAAGAAAAAACTGACTGTCTCAACACGTTTATTCCCTTTTCCCATCCACCGGCGACCCAGACTGTCTCAACACGTTTATTCCCTTTTCCCATCCACCGGTGACCTCGCAGAGGCGCGGGAGGTGAACTCTGCGATCGCGGAGCTGCGCACGCGCGCCGGGCACGTCTGCAGGTCCATGGGATGGGATAGACCGAAACCTCCAAGTCGGTTTCAATGGCCTCCAACCGAATAGCTTCCAACCTACAGAAGCAATGGCCTCCAACCTACTAGCGATGGCCTCCAACCTAGTACCGATGGCCTCCAACCTACTAGTGATGGCCTCCAACCTAGTAGCGATGGCCTCCAACCTAGTAGCAATGGCCTCCAACCTAAGGCTTAAGGTGAGGTTCTTCTCCCGAATTTGGATGAAGCCTCTTCCGGGAATGTTATTGGTTTTGCTTTTGTTTGGTGTTCTTTTTGCGGGTTTCTTTCAGCCAATCCGCCCTCGATAGGATCCAAAAGTCTTGGTGTGGTAGGAGGGGCCCTGTTTTTCTCTTCCTTGTTCTAGATTCTAAAGGGAATGACCTCACAATGTCGCGTTTGTAAATGCGGCCTTGAACCATTTACCTGGTGTTGCTTAAGGATGCTTAAGGTAATTGGTGTTAATCTTCCCTATGGTTAAGTATGTTTAGTCCCGACATATTTGTTCCTGGTTCCTGAAGCAAATCCAAGAAAAGTGTCCGACTACTTGTTTGCTTCGAAAGCAAGGGCATGGCCGTCTTCGAAGACGAAGACGAATGGTGCTCTGCACCCACCCTATCATATAGCGTTGGGGCGGAGGAAAGGGACGGGACGATCAGGCTGATCTCCGCCAACGACCTCACCGGCGTTTCCAAGTTCCCGGCCCCGGACTTGGCGTGGACGGAACTGGGGAGCTGGGTTGGATGGATGTGGTTCCGGTGGCAGTGGTTCAAACAGAGCACCCCCAACGGAGGCAGTGGTCGTTGACAGGTCATGAAGGCGGGCCATCGGAATGGAGGATTCATGTGAGCTTTTGGGGTCAAACGACGGAATGGTTCAGGAGTTCAGTGGCCAATTCGGAGATTGGGGAGTGTTTTGCTCTTGTCCGACAGGTGGACAGTTTGGTGAACCTGTCCAGCGAAAAGGCAGAGTCCGTCAAGCAGGGTGCCCTGCTTTGACGATGATTGAAAGCGCTCGGTCCAAAAACAGCCTCTTTTGGGGGGGAATGAAGAGCCTCAGCCACTCCATCACGGGCTACCCCGTGCGCAGACGGACATTGCCCTGAAAACACCTGAATACTTTTGGTTTTGTAGAGATTGTATATTGGGAACACATCAATTTACAAAAAAAACAAGTATAATCAAGATATTGATATATTTATATTGAATAAGCTCGATTCATCTTCGGGGTGCTTCAAGGCTTTTGGTGGAGTTTTTTCAACCAGAAGCACATTGCAATGACTGCTGCTGGGGCGGTTCCACGAAGACGCATTGCGAGGACGCACTCCCCGAAGACGAATTCCTCCGCGAACACCATGATGAATGGTGAAGGTGACTCTCAAAGGCATAATTAATGTGCCCGGAAAAATACTCCCAGCAGGGGGTGTTTGCAGAATACTGGACGGGAGCGTCGCTTCTATCACCTTCTATCAAGGGTGCGGAGAGAGGCACGGTGTAGGGCTTATGCGGCTTGGAGGTTGTTGGGATTTGTAAGGTTGTTGGAATTCTTAGGGTGTGATGTTTTTTCATTGGGGCACTTTGGTTGGAGAGCTGGACATCGCCAACGCGGCGTCGACAGCATGAGCACTGTGAGCGCATTGCTGGCTGGTGCTTTCGGCATGCGCCGAAGGCAGTCGGATGGACTTCATGTCGGGTGTGTTGTGGCGGGACATCCACGAAGTCCAGATGTTTTGGGCTTTGCTTGAAAACATGTAATTAGTATTTGCCAGAAACCTGCCCTTTCATCCAGACCGTTAGCAAACGTTTGCGTCCGTTCTGGGCTGTTTTTACTGGGTCGGGTGTGCGGACGACCGTTCAGTAGACAAATCCGTGGGCAAACCCGTCGCGACCCAGCTCACATGCTCGCTGAACATTGTAAAGGGAGTTCTTGAGCAACCAAACTTTCTGTGATATATCTTGTTCATTCTTTTCCTCAGGTTGGTTGCGTGCCTCCAGCCATTCAATTTCTCATCATGAAAGATGAGCTGGCTGACTTTTTACGATCTCTGCAGCTGTCTCCAGCGGTGGATTGAAGCTTGGGTCGCCTCTTATGTGTTGCTTGTCGACCCCCAGCTTGAGATCTTGCATGTTCTTTGCAGGTGAATGATCCAAGCACTTTGGACATGGTGCCCAAAAGCGTACATGGACAACTGACCAAAAACACCAACCTGGCGAGGAAGTGAGCCATCAGGTGTTTTGGAGGGGTGCTATTGTTGTGCATCGAGCGGCGAGTGCCTCGACAGCCTTGCGGAATTGAATGCGGCATCGAGCCTAACGCCCTGTGTCGGCGCAAACGCGTCACACGTGAGGGGGGAACGCGACACCGGAAGAAATCGGCGTTCAGTTTCACGTCGACCTGTGGAACGACACCAGCTGGCCAGCCTCACAGATGAATGATATGTATTTATGTATGTATTTATATACTGTATATTACCCAGGCATCGGACGGTCTGCATGGCGGATACTCTGATCCGGCCATGCAAGATCCCCAACTATACAAAACAACACAAGGAAGCACCTCATGAAAGCGAGAGAAAAGGAGTCCGCCACGATTCGATCGTGCGTCCACAACCGGCACACAATGTGCGTGCAAGGTAGAGAAGGGTTTGATCTTCGATCAAAGGTAAAGCGCGGACGACAGCGCTTTGAGGTAAAACATGCCCTGCAGACTTTACATAAGTGGCGGAAATTCGCCCGGGCACAACTGAACTTTCGTGTCCTTCAACAGGTATTGGAAGGCTTGGCGGATCTGACACGTAACAGCATGGATGTGGAGAGTCTGATAGTCAGCGTCCAATCGCCAACCAGTGTGGTGAAAAAGCACAGCCAATTCACAAAAAGAAGTAGCACCATCAACTGTCGTTTTCCATCTCAAGCTGCGTGCAAAATCGCAAATGGTGGACCAGTCTTTTGCTGTGTAACGCCAGCGCTGAGGAACAGGGAGATGAAGCGGGATCTTCGGTTTCCAAGAAAAATGGCGCCGATCAGGGTACCAGTTCCATGTCGGAAACAGCTTCTGAGCAGAATCTTGCGACATCTCAACACTGCCACTGTATGGCTCCCCAGGGTCTTGTGTTTGCAACTGTTCGGCTATGTTCGACTTGTGGTTTGTTTGCATTGGGAAGAGCAAGTTTTGAAGTTCTTCTTGGAAACAATTCCCCGCCGCTTCAATTGCAAAATCAGCTTCACCCTGCCAACCATGGTTGTACTAAGGATTTGACACTACAAAAACCAGGTCACACATGTTCAAGTGTTTTTTTCCAGGCCAGTGTACAAATCTGCTCGTACGCTGGGCCGCACCACTGATCTTTTCGGGTCGGCCGCACCACCGTTCCAAGGACCAGGCCTTCCAGAACGCTCTCACCGGCTCTGCCAAGAAGGCACCGACCGTTCGACCCGCCCAGCGGTGACCGGTGTCCGCCCATGCGGTGACCGGTCTGGGGTCGGTGGTGGACCGGAACTCGTGTCATCCACGGCTTTTCGTCCACCAATACACAGGGGAAGCTGTTCTGAAGTGCTAGCGTCAACTGAACCAGCAGAGGAAAATCAAAGACGTTGTGGCGAGGGGGGCATTTTCTCATGTTCTTCAGGTTGTTACATACTTTCGAGATCCATCAATTATTGTTCGCTGTGGGTTCACAGTTTGGTGCTTCCCTCTGGTTGTGTGTTTTCGTGTCAGTCTTCAGGTCGTCCTCAATTCAGTCTCATCCTCAAGAGCTTCAGTCTCATCCCCAAACGCATGAATTTGCTGGATGCCTGAAAGAGTGTCCTAAACATCTTTAAACATATATGATATATATTGATATATGATATATGAGAAAGTTGGTGAAACTAACACACATTTATAGGGGGCACCACCTTGTTGTTCACATTCCAGAATTTCAACGTCGCAAGTGCTGTGGAAGAGATCTACGGCCAATTTTACTCATTGTTAGCCTTGTCAGTTTGCAAGGTTTGACAAGTGACCTCGAGCAGATTGTTTGGTCTCGGCAAGTTGCCCAAAGGTTAGCCATACATTGCCCATACGCCTCGCTTGGAAGTTGGACAACCTTTGGCCGGCATGGTGCTTGAGTAATTAGGTTAAATCCGAGCAAGTTCTCTGAGACCAGAAGAGAGAGTGGCCGCTCCGAAAAACTGCTCTTCCGTGTGCCGGTGTGCTCATCCGAGCTCTGCCATCCATAATCCAAGCTCTGTGGAACGAAGTGATTTTCCAAAACGGTCGGGCCACATCATCGACCGGTCAGTCGGGTGGGATGTGACATCCTCGGCGTTGGTCACCAAACTATGCGAGTCGGGTGGGATGTTCAATGGAAGTAGTATTGGAACTAGGTTTTGGTGCAGTTCTGCTGCACTGAAGACTGGCTTTGGGCGGAGGAAGTCTGAAAAAGTTGTTTATATAAACTTGATTGATTTCGGGGGGGAGTCCTCCAACACTAAATCTTCTTCATGAGGAGAGATTCCCAAGACGAAATCTCTCCCTTGGTGAAATTGACACAATTGTAATAGATTATGTGTTCAGAAAGGGACGAATAAGGCGGTTCGTAAGAAAAAAGTGGTCCCCAAATAGATGACCGTGGCACGGTTTCCAATACCTTTTGAGTGGGGATCTACCAACTTCTATATACCTTTTGGGGGTCTGTATTACATGGCAAAAACGTTGGGCCCAGGAGTTGGGTGTTTCAAGAAAGGCCCGGTCTGTATTACGTTCCGGACCAAACCAATGATCGGGGTGAAAGGACTCATGTCTTTACATGATTGGTACCGAACCAAACTGAAACCCTTAACTGGTTGTGGGCAGGGTTGTTGATGTCTCTTTCTTGAGTATGGTCCAACGGTGATGTGAACATCAGGGTGTTGAATGAGTCTTGCCTTTACTGCTTGTTTGATTTGCTTAGGGCCAATGACATCATTACGAGGATGCTTGAAAGATCGAAGCTTTCTCCTAAACCGAAGCGTGTGGTCACCCGTGGCAGGCCGTGACCCTTTACCCGGGATATTCGGGCCCAACGGTTCTCCTCAACTTGCCGTCCTGCACTCAGCAAAGATGGGCGGACCGGCATGGGGCGGACCGGCATGTTCAGGTGATGGTAATGATTGGTCATTTGTAGGAATCGGAACATGCATGATTTATAGAGAACTCATACACATGGAAGAAGCAGAACGATGTGACACTTGCTCAGGGATTCTGAAACACAGTTGCATGACAGGTGCAGTGCAACGACTGGGCTCAGTAGTGGCTCCATCCACGAACTGCGCTTGGCGCAGAACATCTGGATCTCCCAGCCCACGACCGTAGCCAAAATCAATGGACCGAGACATGACCAGGATTTGGACATGGTGACAATGTCAGGTCAGTTCAAGTCGTCATGATCTATTCAATTGAAGGAATCAAGGCTAGTTGAATAGCCTGGCTCGAAAAAAATGGCTTAAAGGATCTTAAAGGTGCAAAGAAGTGTTTGCTCGTTTGTGGAAGCTGATACTGTGGATGTTAAGCTTGTCTTTCAAAGCAAAGCTGCAGAAAACCACGGCGCCGGAAGCAGCAGGTGGTTGGCTCGCATGTTGGTGTCCGTCCTGACACCCCTCTTCCCTGGAGCTGTGCGGGACAAGCCGGGGCCCAGGGCTGGATCAAACAGCGAATGATGCGTCCGGCTGAGAGCGAATGATGCGAGGTCAGATATGGGAAATTATGTTTCCAAAAATATGGGTTGATATATAATGGTTGATAAGATGATATAAGATTGCGATACTTTGATTGCATGACTCATCACATTCCAACGAATGAGGAACAGAGACCAGAGACCAGCACTGGCTTGATAGGGAAAGGCTACTCAGTAGTGCTGAGTGCTGCATTGCACTCAATTAGTTGCCGATCTCCCTCTCCAAAGACTCGTGTTTTGTGACGACACGTTCAATCCAATGATCCAAGACATTGGTCTTGTTATCATCCATTGCCATCCTCTTCAATTCATTGCTTGAGATCCTGGTCCTTTTAGAGGCAAAGGAATCCTACTGATGCACCACTTTCTTTGTCGACTTGATGCAAGCCGCCTTCACAGAGTTGGCGAGCCGAACTCGCCTTCCCTCTTCCCTCACTGAGGATCAAGTTTGCGCGAACCCCCATGGACTACATGAAAGACTTGAAGGACGGAGATCGGTTTTCGCACCCATCGATCTCGTCCTCGTCCTCGGATCGTTTGGAAGCGCGGCCCACCAGTTGTCTCTTTGGACCGTGCCATATCTTGCCACGCCGGCAATTTGCCCAAAAGAACCTCCAAAGGATGTCCGGTTTGTGTTGTTGAGCCATTTGACTGCCCACCCTCCAGTCAGACGGTTCGCTGGACGTTTTGGTGGCTCTAATTTTTGTTGAGTGGTTAGATCATGATAGATCACATGACCAATGATGAGAGTCAAAAGTAAGAACTCTCTTGAATGTATAGTAAAAGATCTTATTTGTGAAGAAAGAAAGTTGAACGTAATTACTCTAATGCTATAAAATGGATGCAACAAGAGGACCAGTGAGTGGTCCAGGGATCCTTTAAGATCCATGTCTTTAGCTTCAGAAACAACGATCCACAAGACTCACCGACCTGGAAAAAAGGACGGCGACGACACGACGCTCCCCCCAAGACGGTGACTGACTTGCCACTGGCCACACTGGCTGCATCTTCAAGTGCTACTCTCCAGCCTTTCCGACCCTTCGATGCATGGCCACCCAACCCTTCGACCTCCCACCGTCTTTCCGCCCCTAGCAGGATGTGGTCAAAGAGCCGTTGAGGACGAATCCGGTTCTCGTGGAACATGGGAGAATAGTAAGGTGCAGATTCCATAGCAGCAGTTTGATGGTTTGATGGCAGCGTTCTGTGAAATAGCTAGAAGTGGATCAAACTGGCAAGTTTGGTGGGAAACATCAACAGCAGGTGTGTGGCCTCCTTCAAACATGCATAACAATTATGTTTGATTCATGCATTACATTTGAGGGCAATGTAGTGGAAGAGCTCCTAGGCTCGGTTGAATTCAATCTTTAAGTCATTCCATTTTCCTCACATCCAAACAATTGTAGAGAAGCATCATATATTGCAGGCAACTTCATTGAAGCACCTTACCTTGCGCAACAAATTGCCCAATGTTTGGACAGAATTCTTCATTTCCATGTCATGTGTCGTGGGCAGGACAAACTTTGCAGATGATATCCAAGCGGTGATGAACACATGAAATTGATTGGCAACATAACAACGATCAAATAGAATTATAAATAGACATAGATTAATATTATATAATCATTATAAAGATGATATATATGTATATATTTAGTATATTAATAAATATAAATAAATATATATATAATTTAGATCGAAATCTATGTTTTAAGGAATATTTGGAATTCGATTAAGTAGGATGGACGATATTAAATTATATAATAATACCTAATTAATAAACATATATTATATGAAATATATAATTTATGAATATGGTCGTATAATATATTATTGTTATTGTATTGTGATAGGAATTGATAATAATTGGGATTCGATATATTATTGTAATTACGATAGATAATTTGTTAAGGATTGTTTTGAATTTATTTTACGAAATAAAGGAATTGATTTGAAATTTTGTTTGATATTAAAAATTGATAGATTAATATTTAATATTTTTAATTTTTCCTCTTCTGCTTATGCATTAAATGCTTGATAAATTGATTGATTCGTTTTTGTCCCTTCTTTTTTTATTTTCGTCGTTAGTATTATTAGCATTTTGGATATAAGGTTAAGGTATGCGCGTAATAATTATAGCAATATGACGTTGGTTGGGCGATTTAATGCGCTCTTTGCGTAATGCGGCTTCGATGCCGTACGTATATGTTTGGTAGCCCGATATAGTGCGCATCGATACTTTTTTGCAAAGCCCTATGAAGAAATCCCGCGTGTCGTGGAACGTTATTCGACTTAGCATTACGCCTTAGCGTGGCGAAATTTTACCGTCGTGGAGCACACTTATTATAGCGTGACGTCTATCCCTGGCAGTACCGGCCGGGTCTTTCCTGCACTATGCTGACAAGGGGGTCATTGCGGTTTCGACGTAACGCGTGTAGACCTGTAATGCCGATATAGTTGGTATACATACGAGCGTTTGCTCATTGCGATTTTTACGTGCGCTTGTTGTCACACACCTAGATATAAACGAGCGTCGACGCAACGCGGCCTCTCTGCGGAGCCGTGTGGCGCAATCTGACCGCAACGGTCTTCTTCTTGAGCCTTCTTATGCTCTCTGGCTTTATTGATTTCATCCATGATTGACCAAGGGTTACGTTCTTGAAACACCGGAGATAGTCCCTCACCAGAAAAGGTCCCAATAGCTACCCGGTCCGTTTCTACCTTTCGTGTTTCCCCGCTCAAGTGAATTATATTTATGATTATTAATTAACATTTTTATTCGATTATTAAATAGGAATTGATTGATAATGATTGGAATGTGATATATTATAGCAATGAAATATATTTATTATGAATATTAATTATTTGTTTATTTGATTAGTAATTGTTATTTTGAAAATAATTTGTTTATTTGAATTAAATAATCGAAATAATATTTTATTTATATATATATTTATATATATAATAATAATAATATATATTGGGAAATTGGAAATTTATGGTGTTAATTAATTATTTATATAAATATATTTAATATATTCGATATAAAATTGAAATATATTTATTAATTGTTATTAAATCGTTATTGGTATGATTTATTGGCTTTTTAGGGGGCAAGGTCATAAGGTAAACAAAGCAGATACATATATATAGGAGGAGGAAAAAAATATAATATATAGAAATGATCGAAGAAAGATAGATTAATTAATATAATATAGGAAAAGGGATATAATATATAATATAATATAACAATCTTCGGAGAAAGATACAGATGAAGCAATAAAAATAATAGGAGAAGGCCTACAATATATAATATAATTTAATATACTAGAGAGGAGGGGGTAATTGGCGGATTTTTATGGATTTTATAAAATTGCACAAAAATAATCTATAATATAATTAATGGATATTATTGATTAAAGATATTTTTTATAATTTGATGATGATTTCTATAGATTGGTTAATTGTCTAAATTGAATTATATATATTCGCATTTACGTCCCCTTTCATTTGAATTGCTTAATTGAAATTTCCTTCAAATCTGAACCAAAATATCTGTTTTTGAATTCAAATTTAATTTGTTGATCCTCTGCGCAAATTCCTCAATGTATTGAATAAATATAATAGTCCTGAATTCTTGAAATATATCGTAATTTTCATTTGAATATCCAATTCTTGGGACTTGGCCAACATGATGGATATGATATTGCCACGACCGTATTGCCGGTGTGGGCAGATTTGGTACCACCCTCATTGCGGACACATTTGAGATATAAATCCATTCCCGATTTGGTTTATAACAAACCTTTGATGAATAAATTGGCAAATCTAATCTTGGCAATGATCGTGGAATCTACATTTTGCGTGCCCACCAGTGCATCAATGCGTGCATTAATTAATGCGGGATTTTGCTTCATATTGATATCATATTGTATTTAATATCATAGATAATATATTTATTATTTCGTATTTCCCAGTGATACCCCTCAATAATGAGGTCTTGGATGTACGGTCAATTCCAATCGATTGATGTTTCTGTTATGCAGGATGATTGTCCAGATTTCGGCCAATCTAATTGAATTGACGCAGATATTCAGATGATGCAACCGCCAGACCAGGCGTTGCATCTTGCCTTTTCAAATGCCATGCATATCAGATATATATCCTTTTTGATTGAATTTGGCCTAAATGCACATCATGCAAAATTTCCTTTTCATATGAGAGGATCCAAGAGCATTCATCCAGGTGATCTGGCGGAGATGGGCGCGATGATGTCTTTGACCGGATCAAAATGCAAATACATTCTGGTGCTCCCTGAGGCGATTGTTACAAATTATTTATCATTCAAGGCATCTCAAAAATAATAAATATATATCCTCTGGCAAATATCGTATGGCATCGGCATGGCACGAACCCATATTATCGCTTCCATGGATCGACCTGCTAGAATGTCCTATCACATTCAGGGCATTTCAATACTGGATCTTGGGCATACGATCGTTAGAAGGGGTCAGCATAACAATATGATTATTAGGATAGCGTCAGAGCAATCACATTGCATGATTTCTGAAATCAAAACGTCCCGACGAAGACGCAATGATTCTATCGAGTCTATTGCCGTTCAAGGAAGTGTCAAGGTGGCAAGGCGGTTCAATTTGCAATCTGGTGCTAAAATTGAAAGAATCTTTTCGAATGAGGTTGTGGATCATGCCAATAATTTCATGGATGACATATGAAATAGTGGTTAACACACATTATTGGTACAATCGATTGCGAATCCTCATTGAATGACGTCGGTCCATGAGTCATTTCCTGAGGATGCGAAAATATAAAGTGGTAGTTGCGTTGCGTCTGCGTGCCGTATCATTCTCCCAAATACGGCAATTGAAAATAAATTCAAGAAAAATGTTTTGCTTATTGAAAGGTCCCAAACAAGGTATCTGGCAAGCACAGCAATGGACCACTTTTAGACGAATAATGTATAATTTCAGAAACACATGGGGGGATTTTCCCATTAGGCACATGATGGCCACGCTCTTAATCATATTGATCTGAAATCCATATACCATGAGCGTGTGGAGGACGAAAGATAAATTATATAATTAATCAAGGCTTAGGGACATATATATATTTATCTATTTGAAATGGATATCGCCGGTATATATCATAACATGATTACGATGCATTTCAAATTTATATCTAGCCAACAAACCGCGGAATACCAAATATGTGCTCAAGCTCCACAACATTGGAGCATCTTTGGATCCCTTTTTGCTGCCCTTGGACGCTTTGATCCGATATAATATATATATATATATTTGCGAGGGACGCAAGAATCATGCAACGACAACCACGATTGACTCAGCAACCGGAGGTCAGGGTTTAGATCAAAAAAAGCCAGAACACCTATCAAATTCGAGTGATTATAATAGATATTCTTTTTCCATGAAAAAAATGTTTGCAATCCACCCCAGCAGGTCCTTAACGGTTACATTTCTGGGGTATGATTGTCGCAAAGATTTCATTATCTGATATTGATCAGAAATAATCAGGGGATATTCTTTGGTGCTACGTGTAGGCAGATAGGAATTTCAATATATGATATGAAATTTGGGAAAGGCTTCGTCCATAACCTGTGCGCAATGGAGGCCAATCATTATCTTATTATTCGATATTGAAGATAAATGGGACGAAATATTGAAGATTGAATAAATGATATATTTGATTTATTCAATCGATGGGCATCAATCGGAAGAATGCCGCCGTAATCAAATCAGGCGAATTGGATGGAAATATAAACGCCAAGAATAAGGTAAATGGCGAAATATTTTCAAATTACGGCAGGAAAGGCATCCGGGGTTAGGGCTTGGGTCAAGGGCAAACTGGAAAGGCCCATCATGATGTCATCCTAAATAAATGAATTGTCTTGAAATATATTGCTAATATGATGGAAATCATGCATCTTCCATATCCATCATATAATTGATTTTTCTGATAAGGTTGTATGGCACAGAATTTGTGAATATTCCATTACCGATCATTCATTTGGTGTTTCATGGCAAGATCATGTTTTCTTTTTCAGAAATCGATCAAATTTGGTATATTTATGATGGGTTGCAATAGAAGACATTCTACCGGACACATCAGGTGCGTCTTGTGCCCATCTCGTGGGACGAAATTGCAAAGGTGGAAGCCAAAAATGCAGCTACGCAAATCTATCTCCAAGCAGCTCATCAAGACCCTTCACCGGGCGGCGTAAAGGGCGGCGCAAAAGTAAGAAAATGGTCTTGGCCAGGTTTGGATCAAAGCCTAGCGGCATGATGGATCTGTGATCATCACACCCCAAAACCGTGTCGCTATGCCACAAGATGCATTGATTGTGGCCGTGCGATGGATCCTCACCCTTGTGAGTGATTCCGCCTATCACGGTGAATTCGTGCCATTCAACCTGGAGGCCTTGGCGGTCGCAAAACACAGGCACTCTCAAAGGAATCGCGCGGTCCCATTCTACTGAGCAATGATTCTTGATGCCGGGGTGGGTGAAACACAAAATTTGGAAGCAAATCCAGGGGGAATCACACTCTAAGGCATGTACGAAAGGCTTTTGATGGTGCCAATTGTGAATGAGCTGTTAAAGCATGACAAAATCTGTAGCATCACATACCAATGGAATTGGTGCATAAACATTGGCTGCATCTTCTATGGAATGCTCAAGGCGTGCACTCCAACCTGCTTGCATGTATTGTGGTAAGGTCTTTTCTAGCAAGCTCTGTCGAAACCATCCGGCGAATTCACCGGCATCATGTTGATCATACACCGAATGTGCTTGAAACCAATCGGTCAGAAGGCTACCCAAAAAGCAATCATCCCATGGATTGATCATCCGCCCGGCATGACTCACAAGCATGTTGAGCAGGTGGGCTTCCCATGGACCCCAAATTGCTGTATTGAAGGTCTGACTCATTGTGCAGCGGTTTGGGCCAGGAGGACGCTATTGAGATAGCATTGAGTCCCTGGATTAGCCATAGTAGCTGCCATGATCGAAGTGGTCACCTCTTCAAGCGTTGGGAGATGGCGTTGGCCAATGGAGAACGCTGCAGATTTGCCAATCTCACTTGTAGGAGGGCCAGCTGAGTGATCCCATTGCCGGACAGCTTCAACAGCAGCTGGTGAAGTTCTAACGCCTCCGGAGTACGGAGACTCAGGTCCAACCGCCATGGGATGGCCACTGCTACATCCTGCGGCCAGTTCTCCTGATTCACAGGTCGGAGGGCTGAGAACTTGTGGATTACCGATTGTTGTTGACCAAGATGCGCAATCCGTTCCAGGAAGTGTGCGGAGTTCCTCTGACGTCAGAGGTGGCGTCTTGTTGGCCTTCAGCTGTTGGGCCTGTGTATCCCAGGTGAGATAGGCCCATTTGTTGTCCTCGGGAAAGATGCCCTTTAAGCGTCACCAAGGCGTCGTCTTTTGCCTCCAATTGAAGCTGTTTGGCCCGGTGCGCAAGCTCCTGGAAGCAATGAAGAAACATGGTAATCCTCAGTGGTGTCGATGCGTCGCCATTTTGCTTGCAGCTATTCCATTCCTTGGCCTTGGTGAGCAGCATGCTTGGCATGATGCTTCCGCGGCCGCACTGCATGAAGAACATGAAGCTCTTGTCCGAGGAGTAATTGGATCTTGGTGCACGGCCCCGGCCAGGATTGGCAGCTCCATTGGATATCGTGGTTCGAGTTCGTTTGTCCAAGTTCTGACTGCAGACCTCCAAAAGATCTGTAAAGCTCTGATCGTCTGGCTGCATCTCATCTGCCATCATGGGTGCACCACAAAGACCAATCTTGGGCCAAGGTGTGCTCCACGTCATGGAGTGATTGATTGAGGTCCATCACTTGTGCACGGTGCGTGTCCGGTATGTATATAAGTGTCGCTTCAGTTGGTTGTTCTTCCATTGAGCTCCAGGCCCAGGTCACAGGGTGCATCTCGTGCAGGTGGGCAATGAAGTGGAAAATGGAATCCTGTGGCAGGCGCGAGGATGGGATGTCCGGATGATGAGACAGCCAACGAATTGATTGATGAAACCATGTCAATCGGGCTTCCGGTGCAAAGGGCAACTCTATGACAATCTTGGGCATGGGAATTCCAAGCAACGAGTGGGCCAATTCATTGGTCCATGCTGGAATGGGTTGATCTGTCCAAAGGCCAAGATTTCCAATTGGCTCAGGATTGACGGATGTCCTTGCAGGTTCAACCGGTGCCTGAGTCTCTGACATGGTCAAGTGTCCAAACCTCTGGTTGCACGCCCAAATACAGAGCAGCACTGGGCATGAAGCTCGTTGAAAATGGGTCTTGAGGGCTAGATCCATAGTGAAGGTCGTATGACAATGCTTGCAAGCAAGGTGTCCAGGATGCATGTCTGTATGTGGATCGAATGAGAATCCATCTGATTTGATTGCATTATGATTCTTCCTAAGGTGATTGACCAAGGTTTTTCGGCCAATCATATCTTGACAAATGTGGCACCGATATATCTTTGTTGGCTCTGGACAAGGACCTTCTGGCTGACAGGCTAACATGTGCTTGATGATGACATTTGGAACCTTGGTAGTGGTGGTCGTCTGGGCTCCTGCATTGACAGCCTGGGCCGTGTTGTGGTCGGCATGCAAAGGATATTTGGCATGATGAGCATGCAGGCCAACTTCGGTGAAACACGTCACATAGCATGTCTGGCATTTAAACAATTTGGTCCGAGTTAATTCAACGATTGAATTGTCTGGGATTGCTTCGACCATCTGCGGGTCGTCAACTCGGTCGATGGCCTAAGGGGTGGAAGCTTTTGATTCCTGGGCCACGGGCAACGGGGAGGTTGTCTCTATGGGGCAATGGATGCGGATCGCATCATGATAGGCACTCACCTGCAAGAATACACCACATTGGTGGTTACGTGTATCAATACACTATTGCGCACACAAAATGCATTGCCTTTTGCCGCTACCCAAGTTTGCAAATCCATACATATGATCTCTATGGATGGCCTCAAGAAATAAAAAATCCTTGATATTGCTTTCCATAGTTACGAATCGATCTAGTTGATATTGCCAAATGACAGAAAACACAGTAATTGGCCAACTAATAATTTATTTAGGAGAATGCCAAGGATGGATTTATATCAAAGGTATATTCTCAATGTGATCGCAATAGGCACGATCTAATCCTTGGTGCCATCGAAATGCAAGCAATTACGAATATTAATATGGTATCTAAATTTATAGACGACAGTGCCGACATTATACGGTCATTAATCGTATTACGAAACGATTAAAAAAAATCTTCAATCACGAATCACGCATAATATCTGGTAGTATTTCCTCATATAATATTCCCATGGATCCGTCGAATACTAAGTTCAGTCGCATTCCGGGTATATCAATATAAATGCATAAAGACATAATTCATCGGTTAATTTAGGGATTATGTTTTCGTTGTCCGACATTATCTAAGATTAATTTTTATATATATCCTACTTATACGTCTATATGGGAAATTAAATAAAATCAATACGGTATTAATTCAATTATTGCAAATAATAACATAATTTATACAAAATAAAATAAATAAATGTAAAAAATACATAAATATTTTTAAATAATATAAATATATAATTTAATTATAATATAATAATATCTATAAATTATACAAATTATTTATTAAAAATTCCCATTTCATAAATTATATTTTAAAAATCGTAAATAACATATATTAATTATATAAACGAATTTTTATATAAATTATATTTTTCTTTACCTAAATAAATATTTATATATAACAAATATTTATAACATAATAATCTATATATAATTAATTATAATATTCTCTATAAATTTAAGTTTTTAATATATACCCTCCATTATATATAGATTATTATTTCAAAAATAAAACACCCCATATTATTTTCCTATTCATATCCATAAATATTTAATAATAATTTAATTCCTATTATTTTATATTTATTCCTTTCCAATTCATTTAATGCCTAGAATTATAATCCTCTATATATCCTTTTCTTTTCATTCCTTCTTTCTTCCATAATCGTTTCCTTTTCGTTCCTTTTTATATCCTTAATTCCTTTTAATTTACCGTCGATTCCTATCCATATCCTATTCATATCCTTTTAATATCTATTATTTGTCTTTTGGAATTGACATATATGATTCCTTTCCATATTCTTTTCATTCCTATGTCTATTCATATCCTATTATTTCCTTGTTATTTTTTTCGTATTATTTTCTTTTTTCCTAATATTTTCCCTTAAATATTGTCTTTATTTTATTTTATTTTCCACGGATTTTGATATATTTCTATTAATAAAATATATATCATCGATATTCAATAATCCTATTATATATTAACAACTTATGTAAGGGCCTCCGCCTACAGCCTACGCAAGCCACAATCTGCACAGCATTGAAGGAGTTCCCTCTTCATCTTCTTTGCATCATCTCCAGGAGGGCTGTTGACAGTTGATGTTGAGATATCGATAAAGGGTTGATAAATTCCCTGCAGTTGCAGCTCCTTGGTTCCTGGCTTCATCTAAAACTCCTTACACTAGATACCCTCGGTTCCTTGGCCCCCTCCGGAGAGCATGTTTGCCCTTTCCATCTTTTGGTCCGCTGTCAGGCCCACGTTTGGCTGGCAAAAACCTCATCAACATGGTATAAATCTGAGATCCTGCATTTCCTGATGACAATTGTAGAAGAACACACCACCATCGAAGCGTGTGTTCAACAGCTGACTTGGTGCGCGTCTACTTTGCTTCAACAACTGGGTGCGCTGCTCGCTCTTGAGATTCTTTCCGTCATCCGCCTCGAATTCTGATGCAGATGGTGTGCCATCGATGTGGTGTATTGTGGCGATGACCTCCAACGCCATCCGTTAAGTCTTGGCTGAGGAAAGGGCCATCCACACTGAAGATGAAAATGCAGCCCTCGAATGCATGAACTGGTCTGCAAACGTGGGATCATGAAATGGATTGACACTGCCAATCCTCGTTAAACACTCACACTCGAGCGTTTTTTCTCCTATTTCTTCTTCATCTTCCTTCTTCTTTCTTCTTCTACTTCTTTGTGTGGTTTCTTGAGGCGAGTGCTGCAACTTGGGATGCATGTCGAAGAGCTTCTGAAGACTTTCACCCGCCTCGTCGACTCGAAAGGCGACTCGTCTCCCCGGTCACTATCCCGGACGTGGCTAAGTATGCACTTCTTTTCAAGCCTTTCCCTACAGTAGGATTCCAACCATTGTTGATGTCATGGTCTGACTCTCAAAGAACCATTGATTTACTGTACTAAGTTATGTTACACTACTAAACCAGGTAAACTATGTTTAACAGGGTCTTTGAAGGTTAGGGCAGGGCTTTTGTATTCTTGATGACGAAAAGAGTCTGTTAGTGTTGGGAAGAAACCCTGAAAACCACCTAATAATGGCCACACTCACGGTATTTACGCTGTTTTGAGCATCCCACACCTCTTCTCCGAGACTGTTAAAGGGGTGTGTGTGTGTGTGTGTAAGCTTGGGAATCAGAAGCACTCTCTCGATGTTTTTGGTGTCAAAACAAACACATTGTTCTTTAAACAAAGCATGTCCCAAACACATGGCTGCGTGGGGGCATGTTACCATCTTTTTGAAGCGAACGACGGCAGGAGACACGCCAAAGACGGTGTCACTCCGTGGACGCGCCGGCAGGCGGTGCTTTTTACGCGCGACCGGTGCCGATGGTCGAGCGGCGCTTGGACCAACAACTTCCCTCTCGGTCTGTTCCCAAACCAGTTGGAGTTGGAGGCCCAGTTGTGACCTCAAACCAGGATATCCAAAAGGTCAAGTTGAAGAACCAGGAAGAACTTTGTGTTCCATTGCTGCGGTTTCATGAAACACTCAGATGTGCATTGATTTCTTCGATCGATCGATCGCCGAATCGGCGACTGGGTGGAGCCCTTTCGAGATGTTTGGACCCCACTGCGGGCGTTTTGGATTGCTTAGGCAGTTCCAGGGCCGGTGGCATGCCGACCGTAGAGCTGCGCATTCAATGATCCCTGGTGTGTTGATTGGGCTCATTCCGCCCTCAAACACAGCATGCCAGGGAGTAGGCCTTGTTCTCTTGATTAATAACCCCCAATTGAACCACCTCATCGGGCTTGGGGGGGTTATCCATTAATCAAGTGTCTACATGAACACACACCCAAAAAGCTCAACAAAACTGGCACCTCGACAGGAGCGTCGAACTTCAGCAGTCTGGTACTCACCTCAAACAGCTCCATGACCTGAGGAGCAGCAGGTCGCGTCTCAGCGACCATCCACACGTCACGTCACGTCCAGTTCTTCCTGTATTTTCCAGTTCTTCGGTCCGCCTGTTTTCGCAAAGGATTTGGCACTTCTAGAACTCCTTTGGCCTGAGCGCCGATGAGAAACCGAGTCAGTCAAGGGTGAGGCTCCTTGCCAAAAGGATCCAAAAGGATCTGATGGCATTTGGAGGGCTTTGCTCTTGGAGGCATCTGCCTTGCTGTAGCACTGTATCTGTTCTGTTCTCGTGCATGAATATTGTGGCTGTTTGATAGAAGCTCAAAGTACAAGCAATAAGCAACTTGCAGCAAATCGACGATCTTCTCTGCATGAGATTCTTTCTCTGCAATACATCACTCTGCTCCAAACACCACAGGTGACCGGTGAAACCGCGCCAGTTCCTTGGCTTACCACATTCAGGACAGTTCCTCGAACTGGTGGCCGTAGAAACGAGAGCGCCTGGACGGAGTCGAGCGGACGAGAGCGCCGGTTTCGGATGGACCGGACCCTCCATACCTAGCAGGGGAAGATGGATGGACACCCGACTGATTGGACGGGACACCCTTAACACCCTTTCCGGTTCGGGTGGATGGAGAGTTGTTGGGTAGGATTGAGATGGAGTGGATTGAGGATCTCTCTTGGCCGTCCAGTTTGGCGAACCTGAAAGAAATGAACAGATTCGACTGCGCTTGGCCGTGCGTTTGGCCTTGGACTCATGTCGGCGATTTACACCACTTTGCTGCCTTTTCTGGTCGCACACCAGCGTGTCTAGAATTAAAGGCACTTGGAGGCCTTTCGCTGCACCAAGGACCGCGCAATCAGGTCCAGCGAGCGAGCTGTAGAACTGCGTTTCTGAGCCCCAATGTTTTCAGCTGTTTAACTGAAGCACTCCGCATCTGTTCTTTGTGCTTCGAGTCTCCAGCACCCCTGATTGCACAGATTCTTGTGCTCAGTCCATTCCGTGTCGCGAGCTCTTGCGCTGCCCATTCCGTGCCCACAGGGCTTCTAGACGACAGCATGAGTTTTCTGGGGAGGACGTGACATTGACAACAAAGACAAAAAGGATCAGAAGGCTGTGTGCTTAGAATGCAAAGGTTGTGACATATGCCTCAGAAGTGCGTGACGATTACTTGCTACCACCGTACTGGGACATCACACTGATACTGTCTGCTGGTACTCAAAGATTTCATGTTTCTCCCCACATTTGCAGCGCTCATACCATTTCTGGAGTCTCTATTGGGCGTCACGTTCATAGTTTCGTTCATGTTCCTTGCTTCGTATGATCGTGACTCGAAGATTGGCTGGCCAACGTGCAGTCTTTTAAAACAGACAAGTGCTACCAGTCAACTTACTGAACGCTATCTTTGTTCAAAAGCAAAGACCTAGCAGCATGTCAAGAGCTTCTAGGTCCTAGGTGTGTTGGTGACGTAGGCTAGAATTAAGAACTGCTTAAAGCCCAATTTCACCATGTGCCGCGGAGCACCGGCACTCTTGTGGCACAGCGCTGTAAGCATTGAGAGGTGTATGATGGTTCATAAGGATGATCTCCACATGTTGGTTTGACTGGCTTCGCTAGTTCGTCCAACTGCACGGCCAAAACGCTCCAGTGGAACCTGCTTCGCAGGAGCCTCTGGACCCACCAGCGAAGAATTTCGCCTGAAAAAATACGGGCCATGCACTGTCCCGCAGCTCAGGCATCTAAAAAGGGTCCTATCCTGACCCAAAAGTAACCTTTACCAGGGATATATATATCATCTGGGTGTCGCGATTTGAGATTGGTCTCCTGCTTGGCAGAAGAACTTTGCAAACCTCAGTGGTCAGGCAAAAGGAATTCAGGGACTAAAGTTGACCAAAAGAACTCGGTCCTGCCACAAGAAGCGATCTTTGCATGCTTTGGGAGCCAGGCTTGTAGAAAGCTTCAACTTTCACAGGTCCAACCTGAGGTCCAAACACTCTGCATGTTGAGGTTTGAGGATATGCTCAGATCAAACACGTCAAAGCATGCCCGCCGAAAATCAGGTTCAACCACCGCCACACTTGAGGGCTTGTAGGAGATTCAGCATGGAATTTGGAACAGAAAGCTCCCTATGTCACCAAACCATACCAAACCATCATCCATGCGTTGAAAATGAGATGATATTGACATTTCACGCCAGCAACATGTTGCCGGCTCAGGTGCACTTGTAGAGTGTCGCTGTCTTGGGGGTGCCCTTCTTCTTCTTTTTGGCCTGGACATCAAATCCACTCACTGCAAAACATATGAAAAATGATGACAATCGTCTCCAGCCTGTCCCTGCTTTTTCCCCATGGAAGGTGCTGGGACAGTGTCCAAATCCCGCATGTCGTTGTGGCACATGACAACCTAAGGCTGGCGAATCAAATCGAATGTTTGGTGTCGCCTCGCTAGCTTTCGTCTCAAGACAACTTCGCTTACACTGTCTCAGTGAGTCTCAACAAGGAGGAACATCCGCTGATATCTGCGGAATATTAATAAACACAGACTGACACGCATCGGTCATCCGGTCATCGCCATTAAAAGAAATCAGCAAGAAACACGCACAAGAAGCACTCGTGTGCTCCAAGCCGCAGAAAAGTCTTGTTTTTGGCCCATCGGAATCTGCGCATTCACAATTTTACAGCCACGACTTCTTGCAAAGACTGTCCTTGCGTGGCAAAGGAATGTAAAGAAACGCACACAGACACACATTCTCCATCATCATAGTTCGTGGGCCAACGTTTCTGTGGTCCAATGCAAGCAAGGGACAAACATCTCAAGAACATTGGATCGTGAACATCACAGTCTCGACGCTCCTTGAAGTGGAGCTTCACCTGCAATTTCAGTCTCTTATTTCCCCACAGAATGACGTATTTCTCTGTTCGATCTGAAACTGTCAACGAGAACGAACACCCGATGTTCTGCATCTCCAGTTCCTCAAGGGAAAACATGCAATGGTTGTGTTCTTGTGCTTCACCAGCTGCTAGCCTTTGGATCGCATGAAGGCGAAAGGGTCTTTCCCAAGAGCTCCTGCCGCACCCGGTCTCGCGGTACCGAGCGGTCGCTTCGGTCGCTTCAGTCGGGGGCTTCGTCCTTCCAAGCGGGCATCGTCGGTCGAGTCTCGGTCGGCTTGAGCCCAAGACTGCCGACGATGAGCCATCGGAGCCATGCAGGCCAGGGCAAGCACCAGGCAAGGCAAGGACGTCCCTGTGAACTGAAAGTATCTGAAAAGTTTGGTGATCACCCAGGATTTTGTTGCTTCGAAAACATCCTTCAGGAGCACCTGAAACATTGATAAAAATTGCCTTTTTACGCTTTTTAGTCGTAGGTTCCTGGGGCTCTATGTCACACGCCCCAAGCTCAGACAAGACAGGAAACAACCTCCCAGCAAAACAAACAGAAAGGTTACTCTCAGGGTCTACCTCGCGGCCTCTCCGATCGATCGAGTTTGCGGCTCCACCTCGACGCAACTCTGCAGATCCGGATCTTTCCTTTGCAACCCGGCTAAGGCCAAAGCCTCAAACAGCTTGCCAGTGGCGGAAAGAAGACACTCGACGGATCCAAGTTGCTTCTTCAAAGACGTCTTCCAACCAAAGCTGATCAGGTATATAACATCCCATGGTAACCGCTCCTCCGATTTTGCGGCGAAGGGTAATCAACACACCGGAACTTTTGAAACCTTGTGCTTGCTCGCTCGTGATCTTCTCTCGCGCTATCCTCGTCGCGCAGGTGGCTTTTGGTCACCCCTTGTGGCTCCGGGCCAAACGTCGGCGATAGGGGGTGGCATACTCCGGTCCTCTTCAGGATGCGACCGGACCGGTTCAAAACGGTCGCGTGATGCGACGATCGGTCTCGTAGGGTGAAGGGTGAAGAGCGAAGGTCCGACCAGCCTGTTCGGGCGGTGCAAATCTTCATGGCCTTGCACCAGGCAGTGAAGAACGGAAGGACGACAGTTTGGGTACATCCCGATGCCGGCAACAATAATGGATGATGGTTAGGTTGCAGGCCTTTCTTATAAAGAATGTTCTTACAAATCATGATCATCATTTACCAGCGGCTATGCTGGTACATACCCTTTTTGTGCCCTAGACACATGATGACAAATTTGCACAAACTCATTAGTTTTCTGAGGCTCCAACCTCCCAAACTTGTACGTGTCGGACCAAGCTCTGTGGTGATACTCCACATGCGTCAGCAACACCTTACTGGGCAAATGTTGTTCTTGCTGCATGTGAGAACATGTGTCATGTAGAGTATTGATATGTATTGATTAATCAACCCCCCGTTGAATTGTAAAGCCTCTTCAGGCCTGGGGACAGTTATATACTATTCTACAATGAGTCGGCCGCGATGACGGGATCACTTCGCTTTGGATGGTCAATCGCTGGGTGTCTGGACGGTCGGCTCTAACCGCAGGGATGAGGCGGCGGGTCAGACTTTCTCTTATGGACTGAGACCGAGCGTACCCTCTCCAGCTGAGTCGCCCTAAGGCCTAGCTCTCAGCTTTGACCTATAGAGTCGTGCCTTGGTCATAGCTCACTAGACCAGCACTGGTCTGTTCTTCTCTTTCGGCGACCACGTGGTCGCCTAAGGAGGTGCTTCGAAGGAAGACTTCGAACCGGTGCAGAGGTGCTTGCTCTTCAGGATTGGCAAATGGCCTGAGACTGGAGGACTCACCGACATGCAGTTAGAGAAGCTCAGACCTGAGAAGGGGGACGAAAGCCAGCAAGAGAGCACCGGCCCACAACAACGGTGCCCACATGTGCCCACAGCAATTGAGCACGGCCGCCGAGCTGCACGTGCCGAGCTGGCGGTGGCTGGAAGAAGTGGAGGCAGAAGGGGCGCAGGTGGGAGAGGAAAAAGGAGGAAGCGTCGGAAACGCTCAAGAGGGACTTCCTTTCCGTTTTGCCTTTTCAAACGCCATCTAGCGACCTCTACCGGCAAACACTTGTGGGTTGCAAGTGAAAGCACTTTTTTTGATATTCTAGAAAGTCCGAAGCTTGAGGGGATGCAGAATATGATGTAGGTGACTGACTACAGTGACTAAAGAACTACATACTACATATAAAGTTGAATAAAAAATAAGAAGAAATGTGCTACAGTCACATCAGGTCATGGAACGTGTGCGCCCTCAACCAAGAAGCGAAGAACACGCTCCCAACCGCTGGGGGTTCTCACGAGAATCCAGGCTATTCGCTTCTGGTGGTTCAGCGACCAGGGCCTCAACTCCACGGGTGGCATATTGGCCGATCGGTTGGGGTGGTTTCAGAGATCAATATGTAAGCGTACCTATATAGGCATATATATATATTATATGTTATAATCCCCCATGAAAATCACATGGAGGAGTCAGTCCATCCTTTAGTGATTTCCTGGGGAATGATGAATGTCAGCTCCCTAGAAGATGAGGAACGCAGCTTCATGAACCCTTGGTTGGCATAATCTAGTGCATCACTAGAAACTGAGCCCCAAATTTCAATCACACCTCTTGGAACCGTGATTGGCGCGTCTTCTTTTTGAACCTGCGCTTGGCATTTTCTAGTGAATGCTCTGGTGCCTTGATCCTGCTTTCTCCTACATCATCTAAATGTTGTGAGGACGCCCAAAAGCAAACAAAGCATACAAAAGCTAAGTTGATTGAACAACAGCTACCAAACTCTGTGTAAGTGTCTGAGGATTTGGGTGTGCCAGGTGCTGGTCGAGACACCAAAGCCACTAGAAAATGGTTCACACACCCTAAAGACCTAGAACCTTCTAGTGAGTTGGTCTGGCCGGATACCAGCTACCCTTCCATTTTTGCCCAGAGTGCCAGAAATGGAATGGTAGGGTAGTCTGAGGATTTGGGTGTACCAGTTGCTGGTCGAGACACCAAAGCCACTAGAAAATGAGGAGCACACCCTAAAGACCTAGAACCCACCAATTTCTAGTGGATTGGTCTGGCTGGATACCCCACCTTTCCATTTCTGGCCAGAGTGCAAGAAATGGAAGGGTAGGGTATGGCAGTGTCTGAGGATTTGGGTGTACCTTGTGCTGGTCGAGACACCAAAGCCACTAGAAAATGAGGATCCCCACTATAAAATTAGGATCACGGTGGGATCAAGAAAACAAGGTGATGTCTAGAAAATGACCCTGCCAGCATGCCTATGAGACCTGTGATCCTCATTTTCTAATGACCTACATGTCACTAGAAAATGCCATACAAGTACCTGACCCCTTCCCGGTGAGTTTACCTCCTTGAGACTAAAGAATGCCCGTTTTCTACACACGTCAACCCCTCCCATTTTCTAGTCCGAATATCATGGGGGATATATATATATATATATCAATTATATATAGGATCAATTAGGATCATATATGCTGGTCGGATGGACTGGGGCATGATGCTACTGCTATAGCTAGCATCCTTTCAAAAGCACCCTGAGATGCCCTGCAGCACAGGCTTTCCACGGAGCTAGGCCTGCTTCTCGCATGGCGTTGCTCACCTGCCGACACCGAATGTCCTCCACTCCTCCGTCCGTCTAGGAAACTGTTCGTGACCGTCACAACGAGTCCCTGACGCACATGCCATCGCAGGCCGTGGTGAACTCCGTCATGGGATCCTGAACTCTTCCCTGGTCAGACGGGGGCGGAACCCTCGCAAGCAGGGCCCCGCAGGCGAAACGGAGGGCAAAAACCGACCCAGTTCTCAAACCCGGATGGTGTCAACGGGCCCGGATTCTGAGTGAGAGAGAGAGAGAGTTCTTTCGGGGTTCTGATCGTGATGATCTCTGGGTGGGGCTATGGCATTCCGCTCTGTGTTATGTTTTGAGAGTCCAAGAGGTGTTACAGAGTGAGAGTCTATGCAGTTCCAACAGACGTTGGATGGGATTGTCGCTATCTTTTGCTGTTTATTTCATTCTATGTGGATTCTTGTCACAGAATCTCGAACAAGTGGTAATCCCCCCTACAAATCCAGGTCCAGTACCGAACTTCAGGTTCGGTACGACTGGACCCCCGACGTTTCGCCCAGTCATGATCAGCCATGCCTGCCGTCCAGTCACCATTCAACGGTTCGGTACGACGATCCCAACACGATCGACGCGCTCTTGTGACGTGAACACTCGACGGAGCGCCTCGAAGTCCGTGGCTGCCTCAGCTCTGGCAGGTTCTGCCTTCTGCCGCGTCATGCTACTGCTTTTCCCGCACTGAACGACTCTTGATCCTTCGGACTTGAAAAAGAAAGAGTCCAGCATGGAAGCAACCAACAGCAACGTGGCTGTCAATTGAAATAGGGAGTTCTCCCATTTCGACCCCCTCGACAGAAGGAACATCATCAATTACCCAGACGCTCCTGGACCCTCATACGCAGGGGTCGCACCCTCATATGGAGGGGTCTGGACCCTCAAATCCCTATGGTTTTGAGGGACCAAGGGCTGTTTGGAGCGTCTGGGTAGACCCAAAACAATGCCAAAACCCCTCGTTTCGGGTCTGACCCTCTGAACACCGGGGAGGGGCAGTAGGCCGGCGCCGGTCAAGAAACACATCGCATTTGCCGCCAAACCCAGCCAGGGCCAGGGGGTCTCCCCTGGCCCAACGCACCCACCATCACCCACATGGAGCTTCAGAACTCCCCCAACCCCATTGGGCCAGGGGGTCTCCCCCTTGCTTCCACGCCTAACCTTTCTTCCCCTGGGATTCCCGGCCAATGCAGCCACCATCAACTCTCCGAGAAGCTCCACTCCGTCGGAGGCGTCCGAGGCCTCGGGTCACCCGAACGGAGGGGGATCTGGCGAAAGCTTAGTAGCTTCAGGACACTTCCAAAATGAAACACACCAGTACGCTAACTTTGTGATCACACAGTATCAAAGCACAAAAAGAATATAAAAAAGTGGTCAATACTTGGCTGATGGATATAAACCAAAGTCCCAAGCCAGGCCGCTAGGCACTAAACATGGTATACGTAGACATCCCTAGCTCGGACACTCAGGGTGTCCAGTCGTGGGATCCAGGTAACGAGGCGACCAAGAAGACTTCTGCGGGAGGAGGTGCTGGGTACCCACCGAGGCCGTTCTCGTGATGTCACGCGTTGTCTCGGGAGGACGAAGAAATCGTGCCTCAGGCTTGATGACCGCAGCCAACTCTTCGTACAAATCCACATTGAAGGATTTCACCTGACGCTGCAACCTGTTTGGTGGAGTGAGTCTCTGCTGGGCTATGCTGAAATCGAACAGTACAGTAGTTGTAAAGACTTGATGAATGTTCTCAAACGAAAGGGCTTGCAAAGGCCTGAGAAAGCATGCGAGCTTGCCCCTTGCCATCCTGTCAGCAAGAAGAGCTGGATGCCACAACATGTCTGAACTTCTCGGCCCGTCCTGGCCGCCCAGAAGAGCAGAGGCAAGACGCAAGGATCCCTCGTCAGGAGCTGTCAACGCAATGGATCGCCAAACAGGATCGGAGTCGGACATGCACGATCGGATCGACGAGGCGGCTTCTGCCGCCAGTCAATGGACATGCACGTAAACACCCCCTGTCGATGCAGTTGGCCTCATGGCCGGTCGAACGACTGGTATGCCATGTCTGCCACATGCACGTCTGCCTCAGGCCCGAAAGTCTTGTTGAAGGCCAAGTGGAAGAAGTCGAAGCAGGCCTTGAAGCCGTATCCTGGGCCATCTCACCGGCTTTGAGCTTCTCTACGCCAAGAACTGCTGTGAACAAAAAACAGTACCGTCTGGTTTGAATACGCATGCTTTTTGCAAATCAAGAGAACATCAAATAAGTTGTCTCCATGCCCCTTCAGCATGTGACGGCAGTGTACCGTGCTTGCTCGTAGACAAAAATGGAGATGTGTATGGTAGTTTGTACATATGCGTATATACATGTATATACGATATACCTATAGAACCTGCAGAAACTTAGAGTACAAGCACTTGGTTTTCTACAATATTTTTAGTCTATCAAAATCAAAACAGGGGTCACCCGGGTTCGAATTAGGTACACATGCATCAAACCCCTTGTTTCGTTTCGTGTTGGATTCGCTTCACGTTCACTCCGTTTCGCAAACTCAGAACACTCAACACCCATCTCTTCCCCACAAGAGGATGCATCCATATGGTTCTGGGTAGACCTACCAGGATACCTTAGTAGACCTACCAACGAAGGAAGAAGACCACCCGAAAACAGCCAAAACATGCCAAAACCAGGTTGCGTTGCCTCCAATCTTCTGATACTCCGTAAATTTCCGGCTTCCAGCCTGTCTCGACATGAGGCTGACCAACAAAGACTAGCTCTGCAATCCTCTGCACCTGTACACTTCAAGAGTGTTACACTGGACGAACTCTGACAAACTGGAACGCACCAACAGATAGGGGTGAAGCCACCAGCTAACGCCACTTAGCCTAGCATGAGCCTACAGCCTAAGACAGGCCAGCAAGGCCACTTTGGTCCGCAAGGGCCTGGGCAGCTCCAGCCGCTCCAGTCCAAACACGGGTCACCCGAAATGTCTGGATTCAATCATCCCCCCCGATGCTTGATATCCGGTTGGTGTTTTCAAAAAAATATGAGTCAGAGGGTCCTTCTTCATCCCCAAGTGGCTGGGTTGAACATAAAAATATCCGAAACCATCCGAAACCATCACCTATAGATATGGGTCTGGATATCTAGTCCCAACGAACGTTTGAATGTTGAACAAACACGTGTCCGTCGAAAGAAGGCTGACCTTTTGGTGCATGCGCAGGGTAAACATACTCCAAAGGCGCCTTTTGCTGCCACACAATGTCCAAATCCATCATATCCATCCCCGTAAATCTCGTCAGCAGGCTGCCAGAGTGCCAGTCCAGGCCCAATCCACCGATGGACTGGCGGCCAGTCATGCGAAATGGATTTGGGCTGTGGATCGGCGCAGGCTCGCGGGCGCTGCATGAGTCACTTCTACGGCTTGGAGCCTTCAAGTAGGACGAGGATCGACTGCATCACCGACTGCTGGCCATGGCTGGAGGCTGTCACCCGCTTTCGATGTCTGGAAGCAGTCATCATGAGTCACATGATGAGTCACAGAGATGTCTGGCCGTCACCAGTCCCAGCCTTCCAGGACTTCCACACCAGCTCGCTTCATTTGCACCACGGCCAAATCCACCGCCGACTTCCCCCGACACAACTCGCGGCCGTAGATCTGTACCAAAACGGGCGCCGCCTCGGCGGTGGGCTGGAAGTTCTCCGTGCGCGCACCACAAAGCTTCAAATCCACGACAACACGAAGCTTCCTTGGATTTGTGTCTCGGGAACCGACCAAAAATATTCCCCATGCAAGAGGATTGATATGGATTGATCCATGCCATAGAGAAAATAATACATCACCTTAAGCAAAACGAGGTTTCCCAGTCAATCCTTGTTCTTCAAGCTGGCCAACAATTTCAGTTGAACTGACTCTCACACATGATGTTGTGGTACAGCCACCAATCACAAGAACGCTGATGCCTTTCCTTAGCAATTCAAACCACTCCATCGATGCTCAAATCTTTCATTCGCTCATCCTAGCTCCAAAGACCCTACCTCATGGCTTGAGTGTCTCATGTACGATGTACGATCATTTATAAAAGTGCACCGGTTTCATCTCTGAAGGCAGATCAATCAACCGCTGCCGGTTTCCAGGATCTCCGCTTCGTACTCCGAACCACAAAGCTCTTTTCGACCCCACGGGGAACTAGTGGAGATTCCTTGGACGTCCGACTCAGTGCATTGAGAACCTTCCGGTGTTGCCAGGCATCTCTACCTGCTCATGCAGCCATTGAAAGAAGGCTGGATTGTAGGTCACATCCATGGTCGGCTTGTGAATACACGGGCGTTTCCTCAAGAGTGGCTCCAAAATCTCCAAGTAGGGCTCGTCTTGAGCACGATCGAGATAACACTTGGTGCATAGAATAGGAGTTTCGGATGGCAGTCGCCCTGACTTCAAGAGTATCGCTGCTTCTTCACAAGCCCTTTCAATGTCTGTGACTTCCTTGCGGCCGCCGAAGTAGGATGCCCAGCTTCCAGTGGTGAACGCCTTCCAACAGCTTGAAGAAGAGTGAGGCATTGCTTGAAGCCAGCACAAAAACCATATGTTTCTTTAGGTTGTCCCTCCATGTCCCTCCACCCACGGAGGACCTCATCCAAACTAATTAATTAGTGATGTTTGTGCTGGAACTGTTGCCGGGTAGGAGGATAAGCCAGAGTGTAACTACAATTTTACCATATTTTGCGGATGCAGTGGATGCCATGCTCCGTCATCGTGAATGTGTGTCAATCGAACCCACGACCCTAGCATTCAAAAGATTCTATATAAAGTGGCGTGACTGCACTGGCACCACCAGTAGCAGCAGATCATCATGATCATCGTGATCATCATCATCAGCAGCATCATCACCGTCACTCTCACTACTCACCACATCAGTATCATGGCATGCTCTTCACACCCGCAACCGCAACTACATACTACATGCTGACTGCATACTACCTACTACCTAATTACCTAATACTACTACTACTACTACTACTACTACTGCTGCTACTGCTACTGCTACTGCTACTGCTACTCCTACTCCTACTCCTACTCCTACTCCTACTACGACGACTACTACTACTACTAATTACTCCTGCTGCTGCTCCGGCTGCTGCTGCTCGTGAACGTTTTGACACCAGAGTTTTTGTTATTCCACTGGAGTACAACCTCAAGCTAGTTCAATATTGGTAGCATTTTGTGACATTCCAAGCCTTCTTTTAGTCCGAGACAGAAAGGGTTCCTACTTTCGCACAATTCCACAACTTCTGACTGGCCTTCTGCATATCAATGAGAAGCAATGCTGCTCTGGGCTTGGGACTATCCTGGAGAAGCTCAATCAGGCTCTAGCAACCAAGCAACATCTAAGCCTGCATCGTGTTCGGAATATGTTGCAAATTGCAAATGGTTTGCAACTGAAACTCGATCTCTCCCAGTCCTGATCCTTCGCCATGGGATGTAGTAAGGTTTGGGAGCACCAGAGCCGGCCTTTGCTGAATTGTTGGCCATGTGAACAGCACAAGTGTTAAACAAAGTTTTCAGATAGTATTATAAGCGTAGAAGAATCAGAATGAGCTTTTCACCCGGAAAGTGAATACACAGAAAAAGAGGCGGAAGATGGCGGAACAATATGGATGAAATATTTGAAAGCCCGAAGAACGCCACGTTCATCCTGCAAGCCACCAAAGAGTGCAGCTGCTAGACAGCTCACCGTGCGTTGCCTTGATAGCTTGACGCTCATCGGGAGTCGAGAGCTGAGCCGTGTGGCCAGGCGGGGCAGCTGACGCGGATCACTCTGACAGAGCCGATCAGTCTGATTTATGTGTTTTATATACATCATGTGTATATAAATCAATGTAAATCCTGTGCAAAAACATTTTACATCTAAGAATCCGTCGCATACAGTTATTCAGTTACTGAATAACAAAAGGGGATAGGTACTAAGTTACTAAGCATGGCTTTATAGCTGCTCGTCAACATGATGCGTGAAACAAAAGAGCTTTGAGATCTTGGCTCCAGTGCAAAGGGCACTGCCTCAGCAATGGAAAATGTTCGAGATGCATCATCAGGCATCATCAGGCACACGTATGCATGCCATCTCCAGGCTTTGAATGTCGCTGAGACTGCCAATTATCCTTGGTGATATCATATCTTTCACTGTTGGCTTAAGGCCTGGCGACTTCCTTCAGGTCTTCTGCTTCAGTTTGTCTGACTCGGGTGAGCCCAATTCTCAAGTCAGTCTTTAGCAAATGACTAAACCTGGAGCTGCACGGCAAGCATCAAGATCCCCTTCCCAGGCTTGGCTTCCCGAAGTTTCCCCCGCTTGCGTCCAACTGTCCCACATGAAAGTCGTCAAACACCAAAGCCCCAACACTCAGGCCACAAGCCTGTGAGCGAGTAAGAACCATGCAGGGGACTACAGAAGCAACAAACACCAAAGAAACGACAAACGAGACATTGGGTTTCGTGATTTGCACCCGAGCTGTGCTCCCCACCAGCCAGAATGCTTTGTGCCTGGAAGGCGACAAAGCACATGCATGATAGCCGGATTAAGTCTGATGGAACAATCAGAAGTCAAAGTAGTCAAAGCCAACACTGGACCAAGAGAATTGGATGGAATGGGGCCGTATAAAGTAAAAAGAGCCTGACACAGCTCTAGATTGTTGGTTTCGAAATGCCTCCAACATCCTCCAACATAATTTTCGGAATTCGTCTGAGGAAGGGGCAACTCGAACTTGAACTTTGCAGCAAAGCGCAAAGCTCGGCAAATGCGCAAGGGATCGTCGATGAGAACCTGTCGTTTCGTCCAAACGGACATGTGTTGGTCCGAGGCCCTCAGCAATGTTTTGACCACAAATGAATTAGAAGGGAGAAATTCTGTTGACCAAAGGAGGTCACATCATCGCTGACCTCAAGGGAGGTCAGCTGATCCACACCGGCGTCACATGAGTACCCAGGCGTTGCGGGCTAGTCAGATGACCTTCATCCGACTCCGCATGGGAGACCACAAATCCGACTCCGCATGACTCGGCGTTCACTGTGGCGCTGGCTTTGCTCCACCAAAGGACCTGCACCTTGGCAGGCCATGGGCGGCCATGGGCCCCATGCTAAGCTATCAGTGTCGCTTCCAACATGTACAGTACTGAAGAGTCTGGTTAGGCGCAACGGCCAGTTGAGAAAGACTCTCCCTGTACAAGTATCATACGCACAGGGGGTCATTGATTTTACGCTGTTGGCGGGAAGGTCCTACGTCACGTCACATGGAAGGTCAGATGCTCCACGAGGATCAAGCAGCTTCGTCTGGGGGCAATTCCTGAATCTTCAAGTGCTTGGCCTCGAGTCAGGGTCGAGAAAGAGAGACAGAGAGAGAGAGAGAGAGTGTCTCTCTATTGTGTGCCGTCCAAGTCTGCATCGGTGGATGTCTCAAAAACAAAGAATCATGGCTGCTTCCACTAGTTACATTCAATTAAGAAGTTCCTTAACTGTTAAGCGTGTTAGTTGTGAAATGTTCAAGAATCAGAAAGGATCACCGTTCTGCCACGTCCAAAGCAGCTCATCTTTTTGCAGCAGCTCGTTCCACCCAACGACGGGCTTGACCCGCGGCATCCGAGATGAGGTCTGAGGATCGAGGATTCTTTACCTGCATGGCGAACGTGGCTGAGCATCACTGAGCATCACTGAGGATTCGCACATCGAAATGATTCAGCCTTATAATAGTGGGCCTCTCTATCCTTAACAGTCCTTAACCTAATAATATCTAATAATTATATACATAGTATTATGATGTATTATGTACCATCAGGAATCAGTGCCATGACAGTGGCATGATGATCTCAGAGAAGATCTGGCAGAGCTCCAAATGCTCACACGGTATAGCTCTTGCGTGAAAACCCAATTTCAGGACAAACTCACTAGGATGTCACCCAGCTGCCCGTTGAAGACCCGCAGGGCAAAGACATCGAACACGGCTTTTCCAAGGCCGCCGAGAAAAAGTAGACCGAAAGCTCCTCGTCAGAACCACTGCGCAGTGCTGAGAAGTGGAATGGCTCACTGCCTACAAACCTTCCCATGGCTGGAGAGCACCACTTTGTGAAGGAAGAAATGGGTCACCTCCGAATTTGCTCTTCCTGGGCTTCCAAGACCAGCAACTACGCTTCTATTCTGTACAAGCAAGTCGTCATCAATCTACTGTACCCGCATTTGGGGCTGGGGAAAACCTGGCCGGGCCATACCTGAGCCTCAACCAAACCGTTCGCATCCTTCGCTCCAGTGTGAAAAAAGCGGAGGTGCGGTGCTTTGCGATTTGCTTCGCGGTGCGACCAGCGATTTGCGACTCAGAATCACCCAGTTTCCAAAACCGTGAAACTGGTCACCGGTGGAAAGACGTAGGGAGCCGATGTGGACCTCTCGAGGAGAGGTAGGAATCCCCATGTCTAAAACGGCAAAACTGTCGTGGCCATTTCAGGCCTGGGGGAGATTGAAATCGACTACCAACTTTTCTGGACATCACATCATATGGCTGTCGCATCCATTCTCCCACCCGAGAAGCTCTAGAACTTCAGGCTCCTGCAGCCGTGCGGGAGGCCTCCGCGTTGCTGGCGACCACGTTGACCACATCGGCCGCGAGGCACACGTAGCCGATGTTGTTTTCCAAGTTCCTCACACGCAAAACACAGCAAATGCAGGCGTTTGTGATTGGGAAGGACAACCAAATAATGATAGCCCACAAAAATGCGGCAACGATGCTTTGCTTGGTTTGTCTTTCTTGTCCTAACATGCACGGGGTCGTGGGGAAGGACTTCACGACAGGTTTCTGGAGTCCCTGGATGTGCCTGAAGAAAGGATGGAAACAGTCCGTTTCAGCCGACGCTTGCATGTACACATGTCATATGATGTTGCTTCAGTTGAGATTGGATAAAATGAAAAAGACGCTGACCTATATAGACAATAGACATTTCATATCACTTCTATGTCAAACTGATTGAAACTAGTGGGCCTCACGGCCTCACGCTTTGAGGGGCATGTCAATAAGTGTGTGTCCATTTGCTTCAACTCATCCAGACTTGCTTCGACTCAAGTTGCTGTGGGTCGAAACCCGGGCACCCTGGTTGACCCCGGGTCAAATGAACAAATCCCTTTAATCCCGTCTACCTATTATTGAATAATCACGGGCCCCCCTATAGGGGTCCCTGAAAGCATCAAAAATTGAAATAACCTCCAGATCGAAGGGTATTCCTTTTTCCCCTTACAAAACGATTTATTAAACTAGTGATTCTTCATTAGACTAACAACTAAAGCTTGCGAAAGCTGAGTCCGTGCCATTGGGGGAAGGAAAACCTGCTGGTGTAACACGGCGTGTCATGGTGGATAGACATGGTGGACAGAGGTGGGCAGTTAGAGTTGTTCTTGGAACCTAAAAAACACACCAAAATCGACCATGTTGGTAGTTTAGTAGGGGTTTTAAAGGGCGGTATATATCTTAAATTTAAATCAAACAACTATCAACTGGGGTTTCTCACATGGTGTTTTCTTTTAATAGGGGAGTGGTTATCTATATGTACTTGGCTTCGATATTTCAACCTCGTTGGGGAAGGACTCACAACCTATCCGTATCTCAAGTCCCTCCAATAGGACTCAACAGCTCCCTTCGCGTGTCGTCCAACGGCGAGCCGCCGTCCGAGCGTGTCGTCAGGCACGGCTCCTTGGAGTGATGGTCAACACGCCGGGGTTCTTCTGAATGACCTCCATGGCCCTGATGGGGCCAAGCAAAGGGAGGACGATGGAGGACGTCTGACGGCTATGACGGCTCGTGACGGCGGAGAAGACGGTGGAGAAGGTCGTGAAGACCAGGGGTGCCCATTCCAATTCAAGGTCTTTGGGCACCAAAATGTGAAATCGGGCACCGGAAAAGTTAAGGATGCAACAACAACTCTGCACCAAAGAAAAACCTGCCAAGCCACTTGCTTCGACAAACGCGACACACACGACGAAAATTAGCGTGTAGCGATGCGAACCGTAAAGACCGGCGGCCGCCTCTCTTTGCCCAAAGAGCGTTGTAGCACTTCTCCGGCTCGCTGAATTTGCCCCTGACGTCAAGGAATCCAATCAATCAATCTGCATGTTTGTTGATTGATCAATCAATCAAGCATTGATTTGCTGTTCATTTGATTGATTGTTGATCATCCAATCAAGCAATCAAGGAATGCCAGCTGCAGTGAAAGCTGCTGTACACAGCTTTCACCCTGTCCTCACCAAAGTACATCACTGCAATATTCTTTCTCATCGCAGTCAATGCAGCCTCCTCTCCTAGCAAGGAAGCAGTGGAGGCACCAACAGGAGTTGAGATGATATGTGCCGCAATGTGTCACATTGAGCCAAACAGACGTAGTTGCTTCCATTCCAGCCTCTCATTAAAGACCGCAAAATGGCCAAGTGATGATAAGCCTCATCCTTTGGTCTAGAGCCTTGACAAGACCAAGCACCACCATTTGTATCAAAATTCAGAAGATCCATATATACAATAATATATATATATATATATAAATTCAACTCCACGCATCTTCAACTCCGCTATACCGGTCGAACCCTCCCCAAAAACGTCGGTCTCAGCCCGTCCCACCGGCGCAACGCTGCGTCGTCCCGGGTCTCAGCCCGTCCCACCGGCGCCTCCCGCGGCGGTCGTCAGAGCTCGAAATCGGCGCCGCAGTTGTTGCTCGGTCTGTGGGCCCAGTTCCAAGCTCCGCCACTGCGGGAGCACCTCGCGGCACGGGGATGTGAACGGTGGAGCTCGCCGAATGACGCGGCGGACGCCGGGCTTGAAAAGAGGGGGGGGGGTTCGGGCCGGTAGATGGACAGAAAGGAACAACAAAATGTGAAGATGCTCCAACAAGTGGTCTGCAAGAATGAAGCAATTATTTATATTGATATGCAAAACAATGAGAATCGACTTTTCGTAAACTTTACCATCTACGGCGGGATAACTATATATACTACACATTGCATGTTGACAGAAGTGATATGACATTCTGAAATTGTTGTATACTATCATTGTGTGGGTGATGCGTTTCGATCAATTCTCAAAGGTCTTGCATTTCAAACCGAACCGAAGAACGTGTGGCTTCCGGAGGTTTCCGGCCTCATCTAAAGCATCACGGGCTTTGAGCTCACCAGCCGACCATGGTAAAAGCTCAGAGAGCCACTGGCCTGTCTCAATCTGCGAAGATCCAAATCTTGGACTCGTGGACTCCGGGTGAATGCCAACGGGCCGATCCTTTTTGTTCTACCGTTGTTTCAGAGTTGATGGCACAAACCCAAACATGCCTTTTACATGGAGATCCTTTCAAACCGCCTTTTGGGGATTGTGCCATGACGTGTTCTAAAGTTCAAATTCCATTGTTTGGAGTTCTACCCACATTCACAAACTCATGACGTGTTCCAATCACTTGCCGACATGCTCTGCCTGCAATCAAGTGATTCATCCACATGCGGATTCCAACCTTTCTATCCTCCCAGAAGCCTCCTTCTCCCTAGTGGAAGATCACACCAACAACATCATCCTGCCTGGATCAAAGGACTTTTCTTTGCGCGTGACCAGCGCATAGTCCTCGCTTTTCGGGAGCGAATGGAGGGAAGAAACGCTACACATGTCCGTGAAGAAAAGCAGTTCTGAAATGGATAGGTGACCAAGTTCATATCGTATTAGATAGTGAACAAATCACAAATCATCTTACTACCTAGCATTCTATCTTATTGGGTCTTGACAGAAGTGAATGATAACTTACATGCAAAGCAGTTGGAAAGCTCAGATGTTCAGACTGAACACAGAGACGAGACCTCTCCTGAGAGAAGTAGTTGTAGACAATTTCCTGCGGAGCACAAGGATGCGGGCAAGCAAATCATGTGAAATCAACCACATGATTCATGATTGCATTTTAAAACATCAGTCAGTATCGATGAGGTATACGTAGATTGTATTGTGGAGAATTTGGGCACCTTCAAAACACCTCGTTCCATCAGCAACACGAGGATTCTTGTGGTCCTGTTTCTCTGTTGAGGAGCTTTGCTTGGACTCAGCGTATCTGGCACATCTCGCTCTGAGATGGCGTCCATGCGAGCTGGCAGCTGGGGGTTGGCTGCAGAATGCCTGGGCACCAAACAAACTAATAGGGTGGAGGCCGTCGCTGTTAGGTTGGAGGCCATCGCTATTAGGTTGGAGGCGATCGCTAGTAAGTTGGAGGCAATCGCTATTAGTCTCAAACCACGAGAATCTGACTTGGCCTTGAAAGAAGGCTGTTATAAGGCTGTGAATCTAATAGGAAATGCTGGGCCCCATTGGTTTATAATGTTTTGTTGCCTTTCTTACATCTGTCAGCGGAGACTGAGTTGCCCCTGTGAGAAATACAGCACACACACCAATCATCACAAGTCCACATGGTTTGTTTCATCAAAAAAACCGGGACCTTCCAGTTCGACCTCCTGGAAGAAGGAGAATAGAACATCTCCCTGTTTCAATCAAGTCCACCATGTGTTCGCCCGAGCTGCCCATCCAGCCAGGCCAACGCACCCAACGCACCAAACGGCCCACGACGAGCGCAACCGCATCAATGAGTGGCGTATGAAGAAATGCTCGTCCGATCCCCCATGAGAATGCGTGGAGGGGTCGGGTCTCATCCTGTGGAGGGGTCGGGTCTCAATCAGGGATGGTTCCAGTTTGTGTGTCTTCTCTGACAACGTCTTCTTGCTTCGACTCGCATGGATCCAGGCCTTGCCAGGAATTTGTGTGTTTGATCTCGGAACTCTTGCTGACGTTGAGCCCATGTTGGGAAAGGCTTTTGATCAAATGTCTTGCTGATGCGCTAGCCGCTGCCATTTGCATCTCGCTTCTGAGGCGACAAACAATCTCCTGTTCTTCAGGGGTCCTGATAGGACATGCACCTCCCGATTGTTTCATATTCTTTCCAAATGATTTCCAATGCATGGAATGTTCGGTCCTCAAAACCACCTCGGCCACTTCTGCCACGGACTTGTTGACAGGGCCTGGGGTGTTTCCCAAGTGTTTCACTGTGACGAGATGCCCAAAGCACCGCAGCGGTTTCCGGCCAAAACCGATCGAAGCGAGTCGGAATGATGAGTACCGAACAGGGAGAGCGCAAGACTCCTTTGCAAAGATCATCCACCTCGAAGCCACAAACACGGACAGAAAAGGGAAAAGGCGGTGGGGGGGGAAAAGAACATGTTTCACTAGCAAGGGCCATGCATGGATGTGGCAAGGCACATCTGTTCGGCCAACCTATCCCATCCTCTTCCTTTGGTAGATTCGAAACAACAGACCTAGACATGGGATGCGATTGCTGCCCCCTTGCCGTCTCCAGACCCTTTGCCACAAACCCAGTAACCACACAGCAACCCCTTCCCACATGTCTTTGAGATCATTTGCGCCTTTGTCACACTCAAACTCAACGCTCCTTTTCGCCCCATGTCTTGCAAACACATCCAATGCCCATGGTGCAATTTTTGCCAGCACATCAGCAAGTAGACAAGTCGCCCACGACCCTTCTAAGGAACCAACGCCTCCATAGAAATCAAAGACTTCAAATTCCAAGCCCTCAGTCAGCTTTGTGCCGGTCGGTGTCGCTTGGCTCAGCGAGATTGATCGCGGAAACGTGCATGATGAGATGGTGACAAAATATGAAGAGCCATATCATCCCTTTCCAATTTGGTGATGAGACCATCAAAAACTGAGGTGCCGAAACAGTGAAATGCAACAAAATACTACAAAATCAACCCGACCTTGCCATGCGTTCCTTTGCAAAGTATATAAGATATTTAACATAGTTTATATATGTTTAGATTAATATAATATGTAATATTTGTACAACAAATTACAAAGATATGAACACCCCACCCCCATGCCATAATCTACCTACCGTAGCAGGCACGGCAGGGTACCCGTGCGCGGTGGTGGCGATGTATTGCCGCATGGCCGGGTTCAACAGCGGTGACATGTGGCGTTTCGGGGTCCGTGAACGTGTTGAACGGCGTTCGCGGACCCAATCTCCTGGCACTGCACTGGAACTACGCACTCCGGGAGGAGGTCCTTTACCAATTGCCCGGTCGCTTTCCCTACACCCTGACTAACACGCCAGTGGGTCCGCCTTGCACGCACATGCGGCCGCACATGCTGCACAGGGCGGTCGATGATTTGGGCCACTTCTCACTTTGACTTGTTGCTCACCCGGCAAAGTATGGGAACAATGGGAACAAACGTTGGTGTAACACGACCTCACCCATGTGGCTTTTGCCTTTGACTACCACACGCTTCTTTTGATGCACTGCGTTGTCGAGGGAACATGCCCGTCTTGGTCTTGTCACGGCTCCGTCGCTGTGCAGGATGACCTTGCTTCCGGCAAAATGTGTTTGGCAACCGGCTTCCAATCTGGTGTTCTAACTGGCCCTGATCCTCGGGAGTTTTAACTGACATTGAATGAGCGCCAGGGATTCAGGCCGACCACGCTCCACCAAGCCAAGCTGAGATCTCTTGACCTATTGTTTCTGGTTCATGTCCTTCTCCTTCAGCACCATGCCAACGGCACCGTCACTGGAACTCCTGCCAAAGCGTGGCAAAGGGCAGCAGCCTGGTCGCGTTACCTCACAAACGCTGCCAATAAAGAAGACAGTCTACAAGACGCGTAAGGCCAACAGGAAAGTGAAAAGTGAGACACAAAGAGCCGAGGAGCAGGAAAAGGCAGATCATGATGGGGGGACTCTGTCCTCATGCTGCCATGCCTTTGCGCTCATGCGCTGACGGACCGTGGCTCAAGCGTTGGTATTTGCAGAGGCGCTCGTCATGGCCCACAGGACGGTATTTACAAGCCACGGGGATCCGCGGTGTTTGGATCTGGGGCTGTCATCCGTTCCCATACCAGCACCGACTTCACAGGTCACCAATTGAAACCTGTTAAGGCCTAACAACCCTCCATGTCGGAGACCTGTTGGAAGGTGCTGGTAGGTAATTGGTGTCCTGGTGTGCGGCTGTTTACGGCTGTTTCACACGGTGGTCCATGCACGAATTCTTTCAGCACGGATGGGTTTCCGGGAGCTATAGAAGGGTATCGTGGATGCAGAAAACAAAGTCACGGGCCGACGGGGTGCCAAGTAAACCAGATAGTCAGTCACATCCGCATCACAGACCCCGTTCTGAGGGGGAAGGAGAGAACTGGAGGGGGTATCGTCAGCCACCTCTTCTCCGCAGCTCCACGCAGCTATCCACACAAATCGGTTGGGCAGCTGGTGTCTCAACGCACAGCGGTCACAGGCTTTCAAGAAGGCCAAGAGGAATTTGCAGACCAAACAAATTTCAGGCTTCCGCATGGTGGTTCCTTGCAGTACGTGATACTCAACAGTGAGGCCACCAAAACACACCAATAGGGCCTCCATAGCTTGCTGCGTTGCAGCAGGTTGAATCGGACTGTACCAAGGAAGTGATTCTGCGGCGCCAAAAACAAGGCCGTAAAACCTTGCGAAAGCAGATTCGGTGTGGAGAGCCTTCGTAGTACATATGTGTTGTTTTTCAACTTAACAATCTATTTGTTTACAATGTATTTATCTAAAGTTGTTTATATAACATATTATAACTTAAATGAATCGAGCCATGTTACATCACCTCCCTTCAGTTTGAGGAACCGCAGCGTGAGGAACTCACACGGTGCGACCGAACTCTTTCAAGATGGGCCCCTTGCATTGCTTTCGCCTCGCTCGCCGGGGGCCCGCTGTACACCTCGGTCCGTCAGGGCCCTTCGGTTCGGCTGTGAAGGCTGAGCCTGGTGCTTTCGGTCACACAACGAGGGACGGGTCAAGCACACGAAAGCACCCTCCACAGGCTTCTATAGGACCCCTAGTAAGCTGTAAGCGCCATGACCATGCCGCCATCACACGGCGCACGGACCCACGTATTCCCGTGTGGGTCTTTTCTTTAGGTTTGTCAAACACCCTTCAGAAGGCTGTACTCAAGCGGTCATCCACGCACTATCCACACCATTCACACTTGGGGTGCCATCAAAAATGCCTCAACATCGCGTCCCGGTGGCCGGTCCTTTCTGTCCAAGAAACGAAGCAACAAAGCGCCAATCGTCAGGTCCCGGCGCCTCAGAGGCGTCGGGTCGGCCACCAAAGGGTCGGCTGAATCGCGGCTCTTAGGGTCGGTGCAAGGCATCCTCTTCCGGCAAGCCTCGCTGATCTCGAATTGGAATCCTGGGAGGTTTCGCTGGGAAGGTTTTTGGGGGGACGAAGAAGAGGATTTTTGAGCAGGAGTGCATGCGAACACCAACAACCACATGAAGATCATGAGTCGAAGATCTCTGTGACAGGCCAAAAGATGTGACAGGCAGCAACACTTGGATCTGGGCCTGTTGTCATCTGAATACTTCTCTTCACCAATTGTTGGCATCACGTCCACCTCTTTGCGCTGGCAGGAAGCTGTTTCGGCATCATCGCTCTGCGTCTCGCTCGCGGCGGCGTATGCGCGCGCTCGTCACCTCCGTCTTGACTCCATCTTTGTTGGTAAAGTGTGCCTGGAGCATTCGCAGCCGTTTCCGTTCAATCCCAATCCCACAATCCCAACCTTTTTTGATGTGAACATCCAAAACAACCCGGGGAGCAAAAGACGGTAAAAGAGAATTGCAAAATTGACATGTCTTTAATAAGAATAGTAATAATAATGTCTGTTTTAGATGTCTTTAGGGTTGTCTGGGGGCAAAACATCGTCTTCCCTCGACTTCTAAGAGGTTTTAATGCCACCTCCCCATGTGCAGCACTGAAGAGCGCGTGCCTTGAAGGTGTCCAGCTGCTTGTCTTTCGACTCGTTCGAAAGGATAGTGGCCTAAGAGACATGAAAGGTCTTGAGGTCGCCGTGCCATGGCTGGTAACGAGAATGATTTTAATCCACGAGTTCTTTGCAGTTGAATGAGGAAAAGGAGCAGGTCAGGTGTTCAAGCCCTTTCTCCGACGGAAGCAGCGGCACACACTCCGCCCTTCCATTGCTGGACTCCACAAGTATACAGGATTGTATTAAAATGCAAGGAGATCACGCTATGAATCGTGTCAATGCCATCGCCATTCTTGCGGGCAAACTCATGCAAGCATTATAATCTATAAATATATATGTTATAGTAAGATCATGTAATTTCTGATCTATTTGTACATCTTTTGTACCCTAGCTGATAACACCCATGCTCTCTCAGCTTCGGGCATTCTTGAACTCAGACAGGCCAAATTCCGGCCTGCGCGCGGCTCAACACGCCGCGGGAGGAGGTTGGTTTCCTCCGCTTGGCCACGTGCCTGCTCTCTACGTAGCCCCTCATCTCGTCCAGGAGCGCAGCCACTGTGACCTGCGGAGCCACGGCCGTTGGAGTCCAGCGCGGGTCGGGTGGGCGGTCGGCTGCGCCTCCTCGGGGCAACCCCGAAGACATAAGGTCAAATCCAGGTCATCTGGCTCCTTGCCCAACAAGAGGTCTCGGACCTGAAAGAGACGAGAGCTTCGTTGGTTTTGGTCCGGTCGAACGGCAGCTGCGGGCTCCTCAAACATCCTGAGCACTTGGCATAACCGCCATTGATGAAGACCGGGACGTCGGGTAAACCTTTCCGAAAACCACTGGTGGATTCTCCCGGCACGCTCAACTCTCATACGACGGTATTGGACCTCTCTTCACAGTCCAAGGGTCGTTGATCTTCCAAGAAGCACAGAAAGAAGTGCAAAATCTCAGCGTCAGTCTTTGGTATCCTGGTTTGCCAGGCAACGCCATTGTTTGATGGACACATTCTCTTCTCGGCGAATGAGATGAAATGTATAGTACAGGTCATCTGGATCTGGATGACAAAAAACATACACTAATAATATTATACAGTAATTATCTGTATATATATACATATCTGATCATATCTGGTATGAAAGCCTGGGCTGGCACTCACCACTGCAAAAAGAAACATCCAACGGGACACAATATGCAAGACAAAATGAATCAATATACAAACATGTTCATTCATCCGTGATGCCCACCTGCACGTGTACCTGGCAGTATCGAAGATTCTTGGGAGTCAGATTTCTTCAGATCAAACTCAACTTGAAGCTCCGGTCTCCCTGCTTCTGGAACCTCAACTTGAAGCTTCACAGCTCTCGGCGCACTCTTCTGACAACTTCTGTCCATGATGCACCGCGAGTCTTCGTTTGGTCGCAACAGCAGCAGCCTCAATAGGGCCAAAGGCGGCCAAAGTCAGCGCGAGAGAGACCAGTAAGTAATGTAGACTCTTGATTCGTACAGTACACCGTACACCCCTGCAATTGAATTGAAACACCTCTGATCACCTCTTCATATCGGGGAGTCTATTAATCAAGAGTCAACATTAGGGGCGGTAACAGTGACATGGGCCACCAGTACCATTTCCGTATGTCTCTGTCTGTCTGTGATCTTATGAACTACAAACAGTACCAGGATGTACCATCTGCCCCTCACCCATCAATCCTAGGCGTGATTCCTTCAACATCCTTCAACTTGATTCCCCTATGGCACCAATCCCCTCTGCGGACCGATCTTGGCCTGGCTCTTGCCAGTTAAATACCAGTCAGCCCTTGCTCGAGGGCAAATCTGATCCCTTAGACTCGGAGCAGAAGGCTTCCCTCGGTGCTGGCCACACAAGGCAAGCCACAACTGCTCCTAAAGGTAAACAAAAAGAGACGGTGACTCTTGCTGCCATCAAGTGGACTATACATAATCTACATTCCATGGCGCAGGCCACTGTCTGCAATTCTGCAAAGGTCTGTACAAGCCCTTAGTAGTGTAGACCACTGCCGGGGCATCTGTCTAAAACCAAATCCTTTCACCATCCGGAAGCATCAATTAATCTCAAACATTCTGAAACTCGTCCACCTCTAACTCCACGGATTCTAATGATTCTAACGTGGGAAGTCTCAAAGGTAGCCCTCTTGCTGTGTCCTCGCTCTTGGTTGCATGCTGCGCATGCTGCATGCCCAAAAGCCGCGACTTCACTGCCAGAGCCACCTCACTGGGTCGTGCCCAGGCTCGCTGTGGGCTTGCTGCGATGGAGAACCGCAGCAAACCGCCACCGCCACCGTGCGCGCCGCCGTCGCCACCTGCATCACGTCGCGGTGAGTCGTCGGAGTCCGAGTCGGAGGTGTCGTCCTCGGTGAAGGGAAGCACCGGTGTGAGCGACCTCTTCGGATGAGCTCTTCGAACCTTCTTCCGGTGGATGCCCACACTCGCCCCAGTGCCCATGGCGAAATGAATGCGCTCAACAGCAACACCAAAATATCCACAGGGCCGAGGACTTGAGCCATAGGAATCCAAATGGGGGTCATAAAGATTCGTGAATCATACATGTTTTGTGACCATCCACTGCACAAAAAGGTCCACAAACTCAAACTGGAAGTAGTACACACATTCAATTAAGAACCACTAGTCACACATTCATTCAGTTATATATATATATAAGAACCAGCCTTCTGGCAACGTGCTGACCATCTGCAGCTAAGGAGCCATAGCTAAGCAAGCACGTGGGACGCAGCGTGCAGCCGCGCTTTCGGTCCCTGGCGGGCGATCGGAACGCCGGGCGTTCACCCGGTCGGTGCGCACGCCCGGTCCGCAACCGGAACGATCGGAGGGTTCTGAGGTTCCTCAGTCCATGGAAGTGGAGGGTTCTTTCGACCCCTGTTGGTAAGGGTGGTGGTCGTCTTCCGAAGAAGACGGGACCATGCCATCCACGGTAGCCAACCACTTCCACCACCATGTGATGTGTTCGGAAAAAAGTGTCATTGATCTCTGACTGAAAGTGTGAGGCAAGGCCACTTCAAAGTGAGAGATCGAACGCGACAAAAAGCCGCGCTCCTGAGACTTTGGGAGAGGAGGACCACTGCCTGGAGAGCGATTTTGCTGGAAACAGCGTCACACATGTTTTCGCAGAAAAAAAGCGCCTCGCTGCTCCCTGAGATTTGATTATCGCGTCTGACATGAGAAGCTAGCAATTGAACTTCCAAAAAAAGAATGAGCCCGACCGTAAGCGAACATGCACTGTGAGTTGTTGATAGAACAAGCTATCCATGGTGTGATGGTGTATGACTGGAACAAACATCGCTACAACCTGCAAGCACTAAAGCCTATACTAAAGCATTGACAACCGAGTGCTGGCCTTGCAAAAGGACTTCGCTTGAAGGGACCTCACTGCACATCTGGATTTCGAAAGCGCAGGGAAACTGTGCTGTATCGGGTTGTTGACTAGAAATGCACAGGTAAGTTCAGCTGGTTTGTAGTAGGTCAGAAAATATGTGCAAAGGCCAATGTCAAAGAATGAGATGCCTGTTGCCTTTGTCGCGTTGTTCTTCTAGGCTTGTTATGAAGTGAAGCAGGACTGTTCTTCCTTAGAACAACATTTGGGACGTGCTTGTTTTGTTTCACAAACAATCTGCTATGTGCACAGCTCAAAAGAGCTGCTGCAATGGATCAGTAGCAGTGATGTTCTTCCAAAAGCCTCTCACATTTCTGTGCAGTCCGACCTGTTTTGTAGCGGAACAAATAAATATTCAGCAAAGGGTGTCAGACAAAGCCGTTAAACAAAAACCATTGTCGAACATGGACAGTGCCACACTAGGGCAGGGTTCAGCAGTTCCAAAATTAATATTAGTGTAGTTGGGGGACAGGAGAATGATGAGAAGGTTCAAGAGGTATACTATATCAGCCTAGAACCTGAATGACCTCTATTTTGGACCACAAACCACCCAAAATATGGTCTTTTCTTATAACGGAGGTTCAGTGGGTATACTATCAGTACATGCACGAGCCAGCTCACGGAGCCAGCTCACGAGAATGCACGAGCCAGCTCACGGTTCAGCTCTTCTCCTCTCGGGCCACCGGGCGAGGTGGCAACGGACGGGCAATCGGCACCTGGGACAGCTGAGTTATTTTTCATGGAGTCGTTTTTTCCTATGTTGTTCTTGTGGCTGTGGGTCAGAACCCACCGCTTTTGAAGAGCCCAACCCACCCCCACCCCACACATGGCAAACACTTATTTTCTATATGTTTCATATGATTTCATCCGTGGGGAGTCGATCACAAGCCGAATGAATCTGAGAGGCCGGCAAAGAGTCCACGGCGAATGTGGTGGAGTTCCAACAGCATTCGCAGCCGGCACTCAGATCATTTTATTTAACATTCTTGTGGCTCCAGTCCGGTGATTGGCTTCTTGTCAGTGAAGAATGCACAAGGTCTCTCTTGGCAGTTTGCTGAAAGCAACACAATTCAGCAGTTTTTGCTGAGCTTGCATTGATGCAAGTTGATGCTTGATGCGCAGGTTGTGTTGGCAAGCTATAGTTCTGCTGACAAACTGCTCACAATGCCAGTCGATGCCAGTCGTCAAGTCACCAAAACGGAGTCAAGATCTGAATCATAAATTCCTCGCCCTGACCGTGCAAAACGACGGTCTACATCACCGATGTTGCGAGGGAGATTCAAGCCGCCCCTGGGAGGAGACCGTGCTTGGACATTCACTTGGAAGATACGTTTGAAGAAGGCTCAACATCATTCAGCATCCATACAACACCGCCCTTTAGGCGCCCAAAGTCCCAGTGCATTTCGCTGCCAAATCGCAGCAACTCGCAGGTGCATCCTTTCTGACCCGTTGAATCCCGGCACCGCATGATGCCTCTATCCAAAACAAAGAATTGCTTGGATGCCGCCTTTCTATTCCTATCGATGCCTTTCTATTTCTGCAACCTCTCCTGATCTTTCAAAGATCTACACCGGTGCTGAGGCGACCTGTCTTTTTGGGGCTCCAGTGCAGTTACTCACGCCAGCATGACCCCGTTACCATCCAATCTTCAAAACAAGGGTCCGATGAACGCTCGTCTCGGAATGTCCTTGTTAGCATACCTTAAACATCCTTAAACCTTCGGTGGGCACAGAACCTCACGTTGAACGGGACTTGTAGGGAGTTTTTCTGCAAGATCTGCAAGGTCACAGTCGCCGCGGAATCGATGTGCGTTTGGCGCTTTTTTCACCAGAACCGAGTTGCCAAGAAAGATCAGTCCTCTATCTCAGCGATTAGATCTTCCACCTTTGCCAACACAACGCAGGAACAGAGTACATTCAAACATGGCTTTCGTCCAAACAATAGAGACCTGCGGGGGCAGCTTTCCGACCCGTCAACCTTTGTTGTGGATTTAGAAGGTGAAAGTCATTAGTTGAACGTCCCGCACACGCTGTACAAACTTCTGTCTGCCTGAAGTAATGTGCATGTATGTGAATTTGAACTATGCAAGGCCTTAAATCGGTCTTGCAACCAGGACTCACCTACCTACAGACGTTCACCCACGTTCGGATGCTTTGTCACTTCCACCCCGGCCTGCCACTGTGTGGCGGCTGCTTTGAGAAGCTTGCGTCGCTCCCCACGCCAGCCTCAAATCCGTTGTTCATGCGTCGTCCGTCGGCGGAACTTTCAAAGCTCAGTTGGAAGGACGCATGTCCTCCTGGGAGCAGTACATAGCAGCACTCGCCCAATGCCAGGAGATGACACTTCTTGTGCAACCTGCCCGGATTTCCGTCCAAAGCGGGGCCCATCCACCAGTCCCGGCGAAAACGTCCGGTACCAGTGCCTTGGCATCCTCGGACCTTCGGCAGTCACCCGCAGCACATCGCAGGGTAGCTTCGACCACCTCAAAGCGAGCCCGAAAAACGACCTGGTGCACTCCTTATCTGGTGAAAGACCATCCCTAGGGCTGCAAGGACCTTCTAAGAAGCTGTTTGGGGTGGGTTTGGAGGGTCATACCGTCTGAGGATGTACGACTGGAGCCCTAAACCATCCGAAGTCCAAAGGAACGAGGACTTGGTCGAGCCTCCGTCAAGCTGCGCTTCGACACCTTGGTGTGGCCGGTGTCGGTTTTTTTTCGTGGACGTCTCAAGGTCTCTTTTCTCTCCGACTTTGCTTGGTGTGAAGCATCTTGCAGCTCCGTGGGCTCGGAGAAGCGCCGGAGTGGCGCCATATGTACACGGTGGAACACCGGCCGGGCGCCTGTACCAGCCGGTTCCGGTTCCCGGTGGTGGTCTTCCGTGCTACAGGCCTTTGAAGGCCTCACCATAGAGATAGTCATTCAGCGCGTCGCCCGGAAGCTTCCCGGTGAGCTGGATGTAGAGCTCACCCGCCAGGATGGGTGACGCCAAAATAGCGAAGACCCACCAGGGAACGGTGTCCTCCACTTTCACCAACTCAAGTTCGAAGACCCAGGGATATTGCCTGATAAGGGCTTGGATGCCAAGCAAACATGACTCGCAAGTCAATAGGCTTAAGGTTTTATGATGTTTTTTGTTGTACAAGACCACGGCATCATTATAGACATGATGCAACAACCGAAAATCCCAGCCATTACCCCGCAATGAAGCAACGTTTTAGGAAGCAAGCTGCTGGTATAGCCAAGGAGCAACAAAAGAGTTAAAATTATCGCTTCGAGGCTGCATAATAGATGCGGAAATCCTTTCCTTTAGATTCCTTTAGATTCTGTACAGTCCCCTACACCTCCAAGTACCTCCTCAGAAGGTATTTGGACCCTCCAAGCCCACCCCAAACACCTTCTCAGAGGCTACTTGGAGGTTTTCATGCATCACGATATTATGCCAGTTTTGTCCGGGACGTCCACACCGTCGTTTACCGTTCACTCTGTTCGCTGTTCTTGGTTCAAATGAAGCTTACCTTAAAGATCCTTAAAGGATCATCGTCGCTGGTTCCTGGTACATGCCCAAGTAATTTCGCTTGACGGTGAATGTAGGATTCGAAGAAGAGAAGGTGTACAATATCTGTATACGACATTGTTGAGAAACCGCTTACAGTACTTAATTGTACTTATATATGAATGTCGGTGCTATTCCGATAATTTTTGAGGCATCGCAGTTGAAATGAGTCGAAGTGTTTCATCAACTTGTGTGATAGTTGTATGTACCATGTGTTTCTTACGTGTTGGAATATGTTTACCCTAAGGATCCGCACCCTCAAAAACAAGGGTTTTGAGGGTACAAACCCTTGTTATAGAGGGTTCGACCCCTTCTAAGGAGGGTCCAAGGATCCTTAGGGTACATCAAATGTCGTGCCAAATGGTGTTTTTTCATGGTTTCTCTGTTGGTTTCGTTGCCTACGTAGGATAACCTCGTTTGGGGAGCGGAGCGGTTCTTCATGTCGATCAGGCCAGCATTGTTCATTTGGATTGTCAGAATCATATCCTGTGTAAGCAAAAACTATATGTTTGCTGGAGATCACTCCCGTCAAGCATAGTAATTCATTAATAGCCGTAGTATCTCTGGAAAATAAATAACCATATATATATAAATGGTGTCATCCGTGACAAACTCAAGTCCCAGAATTCTTCCATTTGACACCCATCAACTGCACCTAGGTCGTATATCAAAGCCAATACTCGACATAACAATAACGAAGAGCCAAGGGGACAAGGGGCATCCCTGTCTTATTCCCATTGATTGCCTTTTACATCTAAATATCAAAACATACAAGTTGCATCTTTCTCAAAGAAAGAAGGTTCTTTGTAACAGAAGTGCGAACTGAACCAATATTTGATGCCAACATTCATTTGTTGATGCTAGATTTAATCGAATGCCTTCTGCCAATCAAGCAAAGCGATACTGGGGTGCATCCCTCCAGATTCAGAATAGTCTTGGATTATGTAAATCACATAAATATTCACGTAGGAGGTTAATTTTCCGCCATATTGAATTTTTGCTAGTTGTCACCGAAGGCATTTTTGCATAGGATCATTATCATAAATATCTTGCAGATACTACTCAAAAAGTGAAATTGGACATAACTCGCCACATTGTGCGCGTCACGTGTCTTGTAAATTGGAACAACACTTGCAGCAAACAGCGCTTTAGGTGCTTTTCGTTTAGTCCACCAACCATTGATTAGGTCAAGGAGGCAAATGCGATCATCATCGTCCAGCCATTTAAGAAGTTCTGGTCCAGATTGTTCATGATTCTTAGCTGCCTTCAATGCCGATTCCAACTCGTCTATATAGTCTAAAACCTAAAAAAGGCCTTGACCTGCAATATCCTGCAATAGTGTCGTCACAAATACCAGAGCTGTCAACCAACGCCAACGCCTCATTTCAGCTTCTGCGAATTCTATACTTGACTCCTTGACTCCCTCGCCCCCGTGCGGAGCTTCGGCGGTTGGTGGAGCCACCGGGACCGAAGGAGAGACCAAGCCACGGGACTGGACCCCTGAAAGGACGAAAGCTGTGTCACGGTCAGATATATGCCAGTCCCATGGAGTGTCTGGGAGTTGGAAGTCAGATAAGGTGAGATACTGCTGAGAAGATTACTTAAGATTACCATCAATGACCATAATGTTCACAAGATTTTGGGTGTTTTTCAGTCACGCAGAATAATTAATAAGATATAATCAACAATATTACTATTATCTGTTTCTATCTGTTTCTCGCGATAGCCATCTCAAAGCCCGGAAAAAATGCAGCCCAGGTGACCCTCTTTCGCTCCAAATGCCCCACTCCAGCTCGGTGGGGCGCGAGGCAGGGACCCAGACTCGCTTCTTTTCACCTTCTCGCATTTCCAAAAGGGCACTTCGCCAACTGCTCAAGACCTGCAGTGCAGGATGTCCATGGGTGTTCTTCATCGGGTGGTTGGTATTTGGGTCCTGAGTGTCCTGAGTGTCGGGGGGTAACATCTACCAACTGTCCGCTTAAAACAGGCTTCTGGCCACACCAAACACAATCACAATCACATGCACTGCATTCCTCCAATGCACCGAACCAATGGTCTCGTATAGGACCGGAATCCTTGAGTCCGACCCATCGCATCGGGACTGCGGGGGGGGGTCGGGGTCCCAACACCTTCATTTACGGCAGGGAGCCATCCGAACCAGTCGGGTGCCACATGGATCTCACTGGTGCAGCCGGCCCTTCGGTCGTCCGGTTCGGTCCGGTTCGGTCCGACCGGGAAGTGTTTTGCTGGGCGGAACTGGCACTCCCAAACCGTTCGGTTTCACTGCCTGGTTCCTTGTAACTTGGACCTTGCCAGTTGGACCTGACGGCCAACAGGTCACCACCTGCGACTTGAAAAAGTCTGCAAAAGCCTCCATTTCGAGACCGTCAGATGCTGCTGGACCTGGTGAGACACAAGACGGCCCCGGACGTGCCAGTGGCTGGCCTCCGACATCTCGAATTCCTCCGGCTCGGGACCCCGTAAGTAGGAGCTGTCGAACATCTCACCATTCTGCACCTGATGGCGCTCCAACGGGCCAGCAACGACCAACAACTTCCACGACAGACGAACAAAAGAATGGGGAGATATACTCAGTATAGTCCCGTCAGAAACCAGATTTTACGGATGATGTCTGGCGTTTCGTTTTGACTCAAGAAACATCTGCTACAAAGGAATCGATTGATGTGCAAAGACAAATGTGCTACAAGCCCCATATCCAGCAGTTTGTCGGAATGATTTTGAGTCCCATCCAGGCCGTGGGTGTGATGTGACAAGGGCTGACTGCACCCTGAAATCCTTCATCTTCCTTCCTCCTTTCACTGGCACCCCACTCCATGGAACACTTGATCTGTTTTTCCCTGATGACATGTGAAAAACCAAAAGAACTGCCAGATTCTCTCTCCCACCCACATGTGGCCCAAGCTGCTGTCCAACCCGTGTGACGTATCCAAACCTGGGACGGCCGAGACTCGGCGTTCGAGGCGGTGACCGTTGTTAGGCTGAAGTGCTTGAGTTGGCGTTAGACGGGAGGATCATGTTGAATGTTTAATAGATCTCAGTGTAGATCTCGGAGAATCTACAATTTCTACGTAGGTGTTTTGCCACTTTGGAGTAAAATTAAAGAATGTGTTTGCCAATTTAACAGCTCTCTAATCTCTACCACCGGCTTCTACAAACAAAGCTGCTTCTTCACCAAGTGACCTTGGATCCCTTGGAAGGAACTGTCGCTCCTTTCTTCGCCGCTTGCAGTGTCTCGGTGGCAATCCCACTGGGCCTCCGGTTTCTCCGAACCTTGGGATTTGGCCCTTGGTATTTGACGATGTCCTTGGCTTTCGGCTTTGAGGATGGACACATATGGACAAACTCTCTTCAAACATGGGCATTGATCATGGCCGCATCAGGCGGCCCCTTCGTTCTCAACGAAAAGCTCATGTCAGAAACTGTTTTCGAATAGCTATTAGCTTCTTGAAACTAGCAGTGATACACCTGTTCCTAATAGTGATGTACTTGCTACTAGTAGCAAGCATGCTTAAAGCATGTTTACAATCCGAGTCATGTACGAGACTTAGAGCATGTTCTTGGGGCGCCAAAAAATTGAGGCACTTCTCAAAAGGTATCCACAGTGGTTTCAGAGGTTCGATGGCACTGGCACCCCAGCCGATGTCTTGGACAGATGGGGATTGGGGATCCATCTAAACCAGCGACCTTGGGGGCCCTTGTGCCATCTACTCTCAATCCTAGCACTTGTTACTAATAGCTTCTTGTTACTAGTAGCGAGGCACTTGTTCCTAGTAGCGTCCTTGTTACTACTAGTAAGGCACTTGTGCCATCTATCTCTCGGTCCTAGCCACTTCTGGTGGTGCAAAGCGCGGGTCCACCGGTGCTCGCTTCGACTGCTTGGTGTCGAGCATGTTTCTCCGGGCGGTGAGCTGCGTGCGGTGTGCCGGTGCAGTTGGAATGAAAAGCATGGGTCTTGATAGAAGCGTACCTTATACTCAGCAAATTCATGGATGAAGTGGAGCTTGAGTGGAAAAGAATTGCAAAATGCGAAGACAAAATACAGAAACACCATAGAATACTCAGTCGAGGGACCGATCACACCAAGAAAAGACACTCCAACTACTCTGCGAAGTCGCATGGCGCAAGAGAGAATCTGAAACCTGAACCTCCTGAAATTGCCGTTCTATGCACAAATATCTTGAACCAATGCTGCGTCAATCCGATTCACGCTGGCGGCTGGTCTCCTTTCTCGGCTCCTTTCTTTGAGAATGGTGCGTTTCCGCGTGGCTGGTGTCAAATCAGATGGTGTCTCTCTAAGAAGTGGAACTTTGTCAAATGAGTCCGCTCCCCAAATAGATAGAAACGATTTGCAATACATTTTGAAAGGAGTCTGATTGTTCATTACTTTTCTATCTATTTGGGGGTCTATCTCTCTCTCTGTCTTTCTTTTTCTCTTTCTCTTTCTCTTTCTCTTTCTCTTTCTCATTCTCTCTCTCTCTCTCTTTCTCTTTCTCTCTGCTTTGGTCATGCGAAAAAAAATCACCCCAAAGAGCAATGAACAATCCAAACATCAAAGCGCCCATGTGCAGACTGTGGCCATTTCTGCAGGTTGATGCGATCTGGGCACTGAGGTCCTTACTGGAAGCTTCTCCAAAGATCCATCGAAGCATAGCTCCTTTGTCCAACACCCGTCGATCAATCACAACATGATGCAGTCTGGGCTCTGTCACACCTCGATCCCCGCTTCAGCCAGCTCAGACTTCACCTGCATTCGATGCGCAAGGCTCGAGCAGTACCGGCCGGTCGACCTCGTGTACCGTTCTGAGGCTCCAATGGCTGTCGAACACGTACACGACCCGTTCGCCAGAAAACGACGTGGGACGAACATGGGAGAAAAAGAGAAGCCTGGACCCCCGAGTTCCCCTTCGTGACCAACAAAAAGAGATCAGAGCAGTCCAAGTCCAAGAGCAGGTGATGTGAGTTCTTCGACATCGGAGTTTCGAAAATAAAGGAGGTGCACCGACGACCCTCCGCCGATGTTCGAAGCCTATGTTCAGCTGGAAAGCAATGAATCAATGTGTTGCCAGTCTCAGCCAATTCTTATGTAAAGGATCTCAATTGCCATATACAACCATTATCAACCATTTGTTTCTGCTTGTTTGGGTTTCCAGGTTCGTCTGTGTGGAGCCCACCAAATTGCAAGGCGCCTTGAAAATGGCCCCCCAAACAAGACACGAAATCTGTTGGGCAACAAAAGCCGAAACCGCACGTAGTCACACACATAACACATGAATGTGTTCACCTGAACTTGGATTTGCTTAAGAAACCGGGTTTTCCATATTGAAGGCGATTGATCCAGTTCGGGAAGTGTTTGGAAACATCAGATAAACAGCGCCATAAAATCACCTGATCCACAAAAACCATACAAAACCATGCAGGTGAAAATTCTGGGGATTCGGGATGGTTGTTCTCTTGGACTGGCCGCAAGCGCGGCCGCTTGGCGGCCTCAGCTGAGAGGCCAAAGCTGCCAGCCTGGAGCCGGGAGTTCTCACAAATGCACCCGCCCCAAACGCTCATGGAGGGGTCTGGGGTCTCAAATTCCATGGTTTTCAGGGACCAGTCGGGGCTGTGAACAGAGCATTCAGTCTTGTCTTCTTTTCAAGCCTCCCAAGCAAAAACCTTTAGGATCCTTTAGGTGTAACTCGTGGGAGTCTGTCACGACCACAAATTGTTTAGAGGATTTGAGAGGAGATCGCACCGCTCCGGTCGCATGGCTTGGCCACGACCTTTCTTCCGAGCAGAGCATGGCCATCGGTTTGCCCCGTACACTTCTTCGGTCGACGCCTTCAGACCGGAGAGACCAAGACGTTACGAAGACGAACTCTTCCACCCCCTCCCGGGTTGCGACCCCGACCTCGGACCTGGTGGGGATTGGTTCCGGTCCGAATACTCTCCGGCCCGACCGGGCGTGACCGTCAATGGGTTCACCGGTGAAGCCTCCAAGCGAGCGAGTCGGTGACGTCCACGGAGCGTGGGCCCGGGCGAGAATGGACGGGTGGTCGAGTAGTCAAGAGGCGGTCTGACGGCGGACGGGAAGCGCCCTCCAATCGGTTGAAAAGCCTTTTGAAGTGCACCCGGAATCTGCAGCTCTACAGCACAGGGTAGGGGTCTGAAAGTTCGCTTTGAGGGTGTGGGAGTGTCTGGGAGTCTGGGCCCAAAACCATGGGACTGGCATATTTACCTGGGGTGGTTTCAGGGATGAATGTAGGCATATATGCCAGTCCCATGGATTCCCATGGAGTGTCTAGGCAAGTCTCGTCGTTCTTCCCGGACCTCGCAACCAGGTCCCGTCCAGCATGCACAAGCCTCCGGGACCATCAGCCGCAGCTGGTCAGCACCATTGTCCTGTTTGGGGAACCAGTTCTGTTCAAATGAGATCAATGCAAGATCTACTTGGTAAGCAATTGTGTTTCTTGGCAGATCAGCATTCACAGTCACGGGATCAAACAAAGCACAAACTCTCCCACAGAGTTGAAGGGGTGTTTTCATGAGAGGGTTTTTCAAAGTCTCAGTGGACAAGCCAGAAGAGTTGTCTTTTGCCCAAATCAAGACCTTCCACTCCAAAGAACATCACCTCCTCTCCGTTGAGAAGAGTTAAGAAGAATCAATTTCGAACATCTCGCGGGAAGGAGGTCCATTCCCCTGGGACCTGTGTGAGAGAAGGTAGAGAAGGCACATGCTAGAGTTACAGTACCAGGCTGTACCAGGCTTTTAACTTAGCGATGATTGCATTCCTCTCATCACTGAAGCTTTGAAGTCTGTCGTTTTCTCGAAGACGGCCGACCCGGTATGCTGGAGTAACAAGCCACCCGTCCTCTTCCACAAAACCATGCTGAAGTAACAGGGCATCACTGTCCTGCCGCAAAACAAGTCCAAAGAACAATAATTGAATAAGAAACGGCCGACTCAATCAAATCATATGCAAATCACACAAACTCATGCAATACGTAGTTGACTAAAGGAGTCCTTGTCACCATAGCTAAACACGATCTCTTCCCCAGGCTCGTACCTATCGGAAGCATAAGCACACTAAGCCTCACGATATGTGCAGAAAAAACAATCCACTGCATTAAGAATCAATATACATAAATCATCGTAAATCAATTATACGGAAATAAAAACATATCACTATAATTTGAAATAGAGAACGCATGAAAAGAATGTCAGCCCTGGCCCCTGGCCCTAGAACAAAGCCCCCCCCAAACCCCATTGGTAGTAAGCCTTTAAACCGCCCAAGACCTGACCTGTCGTAGCGAGTCGTTTCGGACTCTGTCCAAATACCTCGAAAGGATGAAGGTCTGGAGGGACCGGGAAGGTCCGGGTATGTATATATCATGCTTGAAAAGACCCTTGGTTCAAGGGCCTAAAAGGTCTGATTAAATATGTTGTTTCCCCCCAACTCAAACACATCGTCTTGCTCCCAGTTTTCGAACCAAAAAAACACGTCCGACCGGAGCAAAGAACAAGAACCCTCGTCCCACGTCTCGCAGTCTCGCGCGGAAACGTGCATGTCTCGCGTGTTCGGCGTCACGCTCTGGTCGCCCGGAGCTGCCACAGGCCGTTGGTCGGATCAAACTGCAAGTCGGGGGGAGCCTAAAGTCGCCGCCCGATCGCGCGGCCATGTTCTTTGGTTTTTTTCTCAGGTGGATCCAAGTGGTGAGAGAGGAATTCACATGAATTCACCCCATTTTTTGCAGCCAACTCCCAGTGGATCATCAAATCAACAGAGGATGTACTTCAGTATCACGGTATTGCCCGTGGTTCCAGTCTTTCAAAGAACGGTTGGTTGCTGTACTCACTGTCATCATACCCTCCCAGTGATGGAAGTGACTAGGCTTGTGGCATGGACCTTCAACAAAGGAGGACCCGACTCTCTGGTGTATTGCAGCCGGCAGAACCCACAAACACCGTGAGTGTCGCTGCCACACGGTGGGTGAAAACTGCCACACACGGTTGACCGGTTTGCATGAAAAATTATGAAAAAAGAGCATTGCACCAGCATAGATCCCAGATAGCAACTCATTCACTAATTCAAAAACAGAAGCACCTGAGACAAAAAGAGCAAGTGATTCAGACCGTCAGTGGTTCCAACAACACCTCCTCTCGGACCATGACCTCATCCTCGGTCCTCTTTTCTTCGGGCTCCACTCAGACCGGCAGCCGCGGCAGTGGACCAAAACCGCCGATCTGCCACCCTGTCATTGAGAAGTAAGGATGCCCAACAGCTGAAACAGCTACAGTACAGTGGTTTCAGAGTAGATGGCACAATCCCCCAAAGATGGTTTCTATGGAACCCCTTTAACAATTTTTAACAAACATCTTTGGGTGCCAGCGCCATCTGCTCTGAAACCACTCTATCTGATTCCATCCAAAGACACCGCATTTCGGTCTCCTTCCAAAGCCTGGCGCTGGTTTCGGCGGTGGTTCCGGCTCCCCGGCGAGGGCTTCCAATTGGGCTCCCCGGCGCCACTGCGATGGTTCACCTGGTCGATCATTGGAAGAAGAGATAAAACCTCAGCGCGTCGCCGAACCGCCTCCGCCGTTTCTGCTGTTCGGCGCGGTGTTGGCGGCTCCACTGGCCTGAGGGCTCTGGCTCGTCACCTCGGGCGGAGGCCGGCCGGAAGGGGAGGGATCTCAAAACAGAGGATGGAGAGTTTTTTTTTTCAGAGCCAGCAAGTTCTGTCTGACAAATGAAGAGAACGAGGGGTGGGGTAAGGAAGAAAAAACTCAAGATTTGAGCAGCCAGGCGACCACCACTGCCCCGGAAGCAGCCATGAGAGCGGCTCCCGCCATTGCCGCGAAATCAACGCCTGATTTGTGACCAAGTAAGAATCACTACTTGGCTCAATTGTGTGACGATTTTGAATGGCAGACCGAAGCAGGTTGAACAACCAATCCGCTCTCCAAAGCCGAAAAATTATCCCGGCAAGAGACCCCGAAACAGTGTGTGTGAGGTCTAGAGGTCTAGTAGCAGAAAGTCTAGAGATCTAAACGTGTTGGGGTCCAGAGAGGTGATGCTGGTGATGAAGGTGGAGATCGTGGTGAGTGAGTGAGTGAGTGAGTGAGTGAGTGAGTGAGTGCGTGGGTGAGTGAGTGAGTGAGTGACTGAGTGAGTGACTGAGTGAGTGAGTGAGTGGGTGAGGGAGGGAGTGAGTGAGTGGGTGAGTGAGTGAGTGACTGAGTGAGTGAGTGACTGAGTGAGTGAGTGAGTGAGCGAGTGACTGAGTGAGTGAGTGACTGAGTGAGTGAGTGAGCGAGTGAGAGAGTGAGAGAGTGAGAGTGGGAGTGAGAGAGAGTGTGAGTGTGAGTGAGAGAGAGAGAGTGAGAGAGTGAGAGAGTGAGAGAGAGTGAGAGTGAGAGTGAGAGTGAGAGTGAGAGTGAGAGTGAGAGTGAGAGTGTGAGTGTGAGTGTGAGTGTGAGTGTGAGTGTGAGTGTGAGTGTGAGAGTGAGAGTGAGAGTGAGAGAGAGTGAGACTGAGTGAGTGAGTGAGTGAGTGAGTGAGTGAGTGATCGAGTGATCGAGTGAGTGCGTCAGTGAGTGTGAGTGTGAATGGGAGTGAGCGTGTGTGAGTGTGAGTGAGAGTGAGAGTGAGCACAAAGTGCTGCGCCTGCCACGAAATCTGCACTTCGAGGTTCACAAAGTGCTGTGCCTGCCACGAAATCTGCACTTCGAGGTTCACAAAGTGCTGTGCCTGCTACGAAATCTGCAAACAAGCCACATGTCCGTCCAAAAGTCACGATTCACTGCGCCTGTCACGAAATAGCTCGTCGAAGATCACCACCAAGTCCGCTGCACCTGCCACGAAATCTGCACTTCGAAGTAAAACCGCTCCGATCCCTTGCGCCTGTTACGAAAAGTCGTTTTTGGACCAGACCACCATGTCCGAAAATGCGCATAGCGCCACAACAAGAGCGCAGTCGCGACAACCACCCGCCACGCCCACGCAGATTCTGCGAGCCCGCGCAGTCGAAATGCACTTCGAGGATTCCGAGAGGCATGAATGTACTGTAAATAGCAGCGAATTAGCCGGACGCCCCGGTGCAACACCTCCATTAGACACCGGTGCTTAACTACTACAGTAACAACCCCTAGTGTCCACACTGTTTGGGGGAAAAAAGACAAACATGCCTTCTGAACATCGACTCTGGGAAACCCAAAGAAGCTGACATGACTCCCGAGTCAAACCCACTGCTTGATGGGCGTAAGATGGCGTAAGTGAAATATGTTGAAATCGCTCCGACTGGGTGCCCGGCTGGTGACTCCAAGCGCAGCGGCCGATCCAGCGGCCTGTATTCAGTGACGGCAAGAACTGACCCGTCGCATATCCTACCCATCAGTTGGGGTGGGGGACCTGGAGTCCAAGGGTTTTTCGAATTGTAAATATATGCTATAAGTTAAAAATCATGAAATGAATACATGCCCTATGATTCGTGGCCAACCATTGTTTTAGGTCCTTACCAACGAACCATGGTTTCAACCTTAGAATTTCCCCTAGGAGATGGTTGGACCCAAGTCCCGTAGAGAAGGGGTCATTTTCTAATCAGACATATATTGCTGGAGCCCCACCGCTTTCTATAAAACATTTGTTTTCAATGGATGATACAATCATTTGTTTTATCATACCTTACCAATTCCTAGAGGACATCTATAGCTGTCTTGTGCTTGAAAATAATGGGATACGAAAATAGGTACAAGAGCAAAACGATTGTCCTGAAAACTCGGGAGCAAAGATTGAATGGAAAGAAAAGTTTATCGCTTTTCTAGAATGCCTAGCATTTTCTAGACAGCGTTTTTACCTGGCCATAACCATTTAATTACTATAGACAAAAGTGATGCCCCGTTTTTTCTAGTTAGACAATGGTCCACCCAAGTTCACCTTGAAATTCTAAGGGGGTATAAGGATTTTTACACTACACCACCAGGTCAACCATTCTTTTATTAGACTTTGAAGGCTAGGGCATGGAGTGTTTGCGAAATGCAGCCATCACTGTGAATCATTGAATCGCAGTCACCCATCGAAATACTGTAAATACACGGAGACGGTCTCAGCCAACATATCCAGCCAGATCTTCACGGTGTTCCCGTCGGCAAGATAGTGACATCTTCACTTGAAGACCCAATCAAGTTCAAGAGGGATCAAGAGAGATCAAGAGAGTATGTATTTTAGGAATTGCCCCATGGCCCTGGCTGGATAGACTGGTCAACTTCCCCTCTTCCAGGAGGTCGTTGCCTGCGAGGTCTTCCTATTTTAACGTGCCAGATGGTCAACCAAGGCCCCGGCGAAAATGGAGAGGCCTCCGACCGCCAAAGCAGCAGCCCTACTGCTTGGAACTTCGCCCTGGGCTTTCTTTCGCTCCACAGGAAAACGACTTCAAGACATATGTGGGAAGAAACGCTGGTGATACTAGACCAGTCTCTTAGCATGTTCACTTTGAGCGGGCAGAATCAATCAAAACCGAATTCACCGAACAAGAACCATTCCCCATATCATATATGATTTTCCCAAGTGGATCTTATCATGCCAATCAACAACAATCCTCACGCCACTTCTTTGCATCTTCATCTACATGATGGACCCTATCCAATAGGTCAGACTCAGGCCTCACCCGCAAAGGCACGGGAGGCTACAGCATGGTGTGCACGAAGAAAGAGATCTTCAGGTATCGCATCTGAGAGCCCCTGCCGTGTTCACCGTGGTTCACGTGGAACACCACTTCGACTCAAGTAACAAAGAGGGGCCTTTTCAATGGCACCCGTTTTTTTAAGTTTGATATCGTGTTTTTGCATACCTGGTTCAGTCAAAGTAAAGGTTTGGCACCAGCTGGATGCTCAAGTAGAAACTCACATCAAACTGCTTTGGCTTCTACGAACTGACCAACAAACCGACCCGCCGCCCAAACCAACCAAAAGCAACTAAAACCGATGAGACACACACCCAAAAACACCTCGCTTGCACGATTCGGGAAGCAAAACGGACGCCTCCTGTTCCAGGTCTTGGTATGCTGCCTCCAAGGCCTCTTTTCGAGCCTGGGCCTTTAAGACCAAACTCTGTGGTAAGAACTGCAGGTCTTGCTCCTTCCAGCGCCAAGGCGCATAGATCTGCTCCAAGGGATACCTCACTCAAAAACCACCGTTTTTTTTCCCCCTTTTTCGGTGGCTCTCAGCCCAACATGTTCCAGTCAAAATAGGCAAGCAGGAGAGCAGGGAAAGGCATAAAGAAGTGATGATTCTTTGTGGAATCCTGCGATTTGGGGGCCTCTGGATCTGTCCAACGTACGTGTCCGTTGTCTTCAGTTCTCTTGAGTTTTTGTCATATATTTCCATGGTCTGTTCTGTTCTTTTGTTGAACTTCCTTTGCTTCGTACCGTCGACTTCTTTCCTCTGCTCAAACCCACCGAACAGGCTCGGGGCGGTGAGCCATGGGACCCAGCTGGCGACCGCCCAGCTGGCGACCGCGGCCAGCCGAACGACTGCCGGGCCATCGGCTCCAGTCGGTGATGTTGATATATTGAGATGTCGTTCTTTTCAAAAACATGTGTTTTCTGTTCTGCCCAGCTGCAGCATGTCGATATAAGGCCCGAACTGCTCGCGTTGGAAGACGAGCTTGGCGGCGAGGCGGATGGAGCTGCGTGGATGCTTTCTCCACCACGGCTCCAAAGCCTTCAGCTCCGGCGTTAACGGTGCCTCCGGTGACATCTCCACCGAGATGGCAGCTGCTGCTGGCAGTTGAACCAAGAGCTCACCTTCGGTCTGAAGTCAAACGAATACCGGACAGTCTCCAACCTAAGAGCGATGGCCTCCAACCTGATGTCTGAAGTCAAAGGAATAAAACAAGGAATACGAGTATGTCTGTGTCATTGAGTGTCTGTGTATGAGTGTGTCATCATAGAAAAGAACAAACGCACGGAGTGCAAAATGTTTTGACCAAAAGCATCTTTCAACTTCTTGTGCCTCTGTCAAATCTCTGTGTGCAAACCACACATCTTCCTTCTTTGTCGGGCAGAATCTCCAGCTTGGCAGACCGCTTGATCGACGAGGAGTCCATCCACGTGACGAAGCGCGACGTCGCCTCATCCGTCCGCACTGCTGCGAGTTCTCGGATTCGTCGTCTGGTCCTCACTGCAGCTCTTTGGCTACAAAGCCTGTGGCTTGCGACCGCGCCGCCGAGCAAACAAAGAGCCGTTCGATGCCTCCGGCTCCGCCGGAACTCCCGGCTGTTTTCTTTTGAGCTGCCAGGCAGCGGCATGTTGGGCGCCCATGGCGCTCCAGTGACCGGCGGTGCAAGCATGTTTTTTCTCCAATGGCCAAGGTCTAAAAACATCTGGATAACTCTGGAATCATGACGAAAGACCTGGAATCAAGGATGTTTTTAGACCTTGGGCTAAGAAATCCAATCTGGATGGATCATGATGAATCCGGTCTTTGATTGCAGTCGGTGCACTTGGTACAGTATGTCGCAGTTCTGTGCATCCCACGGTTCTGTGTTGGCGATGTTATCTGTCGTCATCAGTGTCTGTTCGTCAGGTGGCGAAGCTTGCAAAACGATTGGACGAACGGCCTGACGAACGCCCTGACGAACGGCGGGATCGGACTTTGGGAACCCTTCCTTCCTTCGACTGGAAAAGGGTTCTGGTCATTGTGTTCGCACATGAAATCGTTGAATCTATACATTGAGCCACTGTCTAGCTGCGCAAGGTCCACGACCGCAGCTAGCAAAACTGAAGCCCATGCAGCTGCTTGCGATGGGCATTTTGATGAGGCAACAGTGGCGCTGGCCCAAAGGACATCATTTTGATTTGTTAAAGGGCGAAACTCCTGAAGAGATCGGCGTTCTTTGAGAGTGCCTGAATTTAGAGCACACCCTATGTACATCGGAGATTCTGGGCATGACGGAGACCAATCTGTTGTTCTGGTTCACCGTGCTTGACCTTGCTGGACCTTGCTGGACCGTGGTCACATGTATCACCCAGCAATCTTCCACGAGTGAAACTGAGACCTGTTCAGCTCTTCTCATGGTATGTCTTGCTCCTCCCATTCCTGGTGCAAAAACGCGCCATGACAAACACACCTCTTGGTATTCACCGTCTTGGACTGAGTATGACTGATGATATGTCTTTTCTCGGTAACCTGGGGTGGCAATGGGGCCTACTGAGCAGTGAGCAGGGCAAGCAGTGAGAAAGGAGTCATAAGGTGTCAAACGCAAGTCTGCCAGTCAGGAGCCAGTCTTGTGAAAGGTGAATCAGTTCGCTCAACAATCAAGTTGAAACAGGTGAAACAAATGTCCCGTGCGGGGCTGACCGCCCGGGTGTATCGCACTGGGTGTATCGCAGCACTGGGCCTGTTCCAGTATCGCTTGGGCTTTACGATTCTCCTGGCACGTCGACCCACGGCCGTGTCTGGCACTCAGGTGGTCGAACAGTGAAAAACTCAAACAGTAGAGGGTGACCATCGTTCGCTGCGAGTCAAAACCTCAAACCATCTCAAACCCCCCCCACCCAACCATGGTTTCGGTGGACATCCCTTTTTTTGCAGGATTCAACTTACATCATTGACCCACTTTCGCCCAGCTGGGCTCGCTGTCTAGCCAGCTGGCTCGTGCAGCTCGCGCGACACGACGATTCCCAAGCATGCCGAGGAATCATCAATTCTCTTCATGGCTTGCTCCAGTCCAATGATGTCGGCGTACATCTGCCCGTTCGTTTTGCGGCTGAACGCGTGTGAACGCAGAACGCTGGAACGCTTGATTCCACAGCGTGGTGCACAGAACGGCCGGGGTGGCGGGTCTGGTTCTTTGTTTGTACAGCCTTTGCCTTATTTCATCTGATTTCTATTGATTTCTTTGTTTAGGTGTGGAAATATCAAGATGTTCGCAGTGTTTGACATTTGTGAAACACACTGCGAACACCCCGTGGTGGGTGATCTGACCGCCATCTTGTTTGGTGCCTAGACTATACTAATCTATACTATAATAATCTCGAGATATCTCGACGAGTCTTTGATCCTTTTCTTCAAATGTTCTTCACGCAAGTCTCAGTCAAATGTTTGCTCTGGTGGCTTGCGTGGGAGTGAATATGTCTGGACAGACATTGAGAGACAAAATATATTTGTCATGTAACTAACGTTAGCTTAGTGTATACATCCCAGGCATGTTGGAGACCTGCTGTGATGAATTGATGCGGGACACTTGTGTCATCATGTTTTGCATACCGGATTTGGAAGCCAGACTCCCTAGACTTTCAAGACCATTATATATATATAACAATTCTTGACCTGGTTTTTGTAGAGTAAAATCCTCAGTTCATTCAGTAAAGCCCGTTAAATTAATGGTGATTGGAAGCCTAGGGGACTGTTTTGTGTGGGACTGTGCAAACGCAGCAGTGAAAGTCCACTACTGTGCATTCTCAGAGGTGATATGAGACATCACAGCAGAGCATACAAATCTCTTTAGACGCTGTGTTGCACATAAGGAAAAAGCAGAGGATATGGAGTATGTGGGGCGTCCATGTTATAGTTACTAATTGTGTCTTCAATGGCGGATTGCTGCGGTGGGGACTCCAAAAACCACCCACCGCCGCATAAACCACCCAGCCCCGTTCCGGATGGTCTGGGTAATTACCGTGATCTCAGTCCGTCCACTTCTATCCCTCGGCTAAGCACCCCGCCTGGTCGCGGTACTGCGACGTGGTAAACTTGTGATCTGCCAGCGCTTCGTCGCGAGTCCCGACCGGTCGTCGCTTCGCGTCGCTCGCGTGGTGGAGAGCGGGACGTTTGGGGGCGGCGCCAGCGGTTTCTTCGGCGGTTCGGGGCCCGAAAAAGCGGGTGGCGTTCGGTCGCAGTGGTTGCCGAGGCTGCAGCTGTCCGGAAGGGTGAGCTCCAAGCGTTGCCCAAAGACCTAAACCAAAAAGCTTCGAGCGGCAAAACCTAAAGCAATGACAATGACAGTAGCTTGACACGAATATATATATATATATGTGTGTGTGTACGCCTTGGATTCAGAGGTAGTCTTTTGGCGGTTGGTTTTGCATGTTAGCAGGGTCACTGGAAGGGAAGTGATTGGGGACGCTCAACCATGTACCTGTTTACGCTACAGAGATCTACACAGCGATTCGTTCGTCTCGCTCAATATATAACAGAAGCTCTTCCACCCTTTTGAAAGTCCTGAGGCAGTGGCAGTGGCTGGATTCCACTGCATCACTGAGCTGCATCCACTGCTTACCAAGGTTTCTTTAGGGCCGGTGGCATTGCAACCGTACGTATCTGCTCACCATGTGTGACTTGCCACGCTGGTAGTAGTTCATTGTGCGAATATTGTGGAGTCATGTCATGTCCCAAGTCTTTTGACGCAATTATATTCAGACACCAGTCAATGAATTCTGCAGCATTGCAAGAAGGCTGATGGTCTGAGGCTTCAGCTGGTTCAGCATCGGGGTCATGGAAGGCAGACAAATATGGATGTCGTAAAGCCTGTGCGGCTTTTTCAAGCCCAGTGGCCCAGTGGCCCAGGTCCACAGCTGACACAGCTGGCCGAGGTCTGCCGTTAGCTTTTCACCCCCGTTCACGGAACGAACTCCGGTTGGATGTTAAGTGGAGCAACGTTCAGTTCATGCCCAACAAAAGGTTACTCTCTATGAAACAAATAGGAGACAATAGGAGTATGAAATCTGCAGTCTCAAATGCCATGATTGTTTCAATGGCAACATATCATGTTTGGGAAAATATGGAAGTGGGCTGAAGCTGGCTGAAGCTGTGAAGAAAGACAAACGTGGAAGTAGTAATTCAATGTTAGCTTGCAGGTTAGCATTGTTTCACCAATTTCCCATCTGTTGACCAGATTTGCGACGCTTCCCTGTTAGTGGAGTATATGAAGGTTTTTCACTGACTGGGTAGCTTTGGGAGCAGAAAATGTAGACGAATCTCCATTCAACAACTCTCAGAGGCCCCAGCAATACAGGCGATTGGCTGCAAAGCTGCAAGTAGCGTGGTTCGTTTCATTCTGCAAAAGTGTTTGCTAAACAAGCAACTGTCTTCGCAAACCAGTCAGGACACATGTTTAGGGGAATACAGAAAAAGAAGAACCGTCGAGCAGCCCGTCGCAATCAATCTCATTACTGTTCAGTGGAATGAGAAATACAATTGCGCCTTTCATCCCGGGCAATCAGTTGCCTACTATGTCCGCCAATATGCACATGGATGTTCAACATACTACACAGGAAACACGGATGCAAGGAATACCCTCAGACAGCCCGTCGCAATCAATCTCATCACTCTTCAGTGGAAGGAGAAGTACAATTGCGCCTTTCATTCCAGGAATTTCGATGCCTGTATCCTCTACTATCCACCAACATCCTCCCTTATCCTCCAATATTCAACTACACTGCAAACACGGCAACGAGAAAAGACCTCAGACAGCCCGTCGCAATCAATCTCATCACTCTTCAGTGGAAGG